CTGGAATTTCATACACTGTATTGTGGTTTCCATTTGGGCATCAGGCCTATGTGGATATAACATATTTCAGCATGGATCCTTGGCCCTGAATCAATTTTTCCTGCATTTCTCTGCATGTGTTAATGAACACGGTTCAGACATCTAGATTTATGAAAAAGAGTGTATTTATTTTCGGCATCTGTTAGTTTTTTAACTGTGCCTGATGTCTGTGCTATCAAGTCTGGCTCCTGGGCAGCCCCAAGTTGAGAACAGGCCATGGCAAAAGGGGAATTTATTTCCTTTGAATAAAATAGTTGCAATGTGTCAATGAAAACAGGCAATAAAAGAGAACCAGCTGATAAAATTTTTCTTGATTTTCAAGTGATTCCAAACCGACCCTGCGCAGAAAAGGAGGCTTCATTGTACCAAGCAATGATAAAGTGGATCATGACTGATGTGGAGTCAGGAAATCAAGCAGAGAATCGCATGATCAGGATGCATTGTGCAAGAACTTTGGCGGGTGGTCCTCATAGTCCCTCCACTGGGTCCTGTGCTGTTTAACAGAATTTAGGGATGTTCAGGGAAGGAAGGAGAAGCATGGGATGCTAACATCTGCAAATAGCATGAAGTCAGGCTTGGGAAGGATTGTGAAAATCTAATGAATGAGGAAAAAGGTTGGTGAATGAAATTTAATACCAACATCTGTAAATAATGAGCATCAGAGGAAAAGCATCAGGTGCTTCTTACACCGCAGAGAACATGGACCTGGTTTCATCAGCTCAGGGAACTCTCTCCTGTGGTCATTGCAAGAAGGCTGGAGGAGTATCCTGGTGTGGGATGAATACAGAAAAGCTTTCCCTGCTCACTTGTTTCAGCAGTTGCTGGCCTATGAGCACTGTGTGTTGCTGCTCACCCAGCAGCTTCAGAAGGCTAGAGGAGAGGATTGCAAACATCCAAGGTGTGGAAATGATCCTTAATGCAATGACTCTCAGTGCATTTTGGGAGGTCTGCTTCAACTCTATGTGCTAATCCAACCTCCCTGTATATCAAGCTCTCTGTATTCTACAGCTGACCTAGCAAGCCTATAGCTCTTCATCAGGCTGAGTTTTATCTGTAAGAGCTTTATCTAACACCATCATTTCACAGAGCTTGAGTCTGTGTGTGAAGAGCTGCAGTTTCTCTGCCTTCTTCCATGTATTCTTTTATTTTGATCACTCTCTACAACTACCTAAAAGATGGCTGTATCCATGTGGGGATCAGTCTCTTCTCTCAGATAAAAAACGATAGGACAAGAGGAAACAGTCTCAGGTTATACAAGAGGAGGTTTGGATAGACTGGATATTAGAAAAAATTTCTTCATTGAAAGGGTTGTCAAGCATTGGAACTGGGAAGTCATGGAGTCACCATCCTTGGAGGGATTTAGAAGGCATGCAGAAGTGGCACCTGGAGACATGGTTTAGTGCTGGGTTAATGATAGGACTAGATGACCTCAGAGTCTTTTCCAATGTAAACAATTCTATAATTTCTTTATATGATTCAAACCATTATTTTTAACACAGATGAGGCTAGTGAGTACCATAGTAGGGCTTTCTGGCATGCCTGAAGAGGAAAGAAAGGATGTGTGGCTACACCAGTAGGTAATCCTTAGCACACCTTCATCAGTGATACATCCAGCTGATGACCACTGTGTGTGAGTGTACAGGTAAAGGGCAGTATAAGAATCTGCCTGTGCATAGGCCCTTGCCAGACTATGTCCTTTGAATGGACAGAAAGGAGCAGGTTGATGTGATGTTTTCCACGCATTTATTTAACAGATTCTTTGCTGGTGTGAGGACAGAATCATAGAATTATCCTGGGATTACTCACCTTCTGCTCTATACCTGCATTCACTTGGCTGTAATTTCATAACTCAGAGAAACACCTTCATATTTTCTAATAAGAAATGTGCTGTGGGGAGTGGTATTGCCCCCTCTTTGCATTAATATCCCCTGTCACAGAACTTTTCCCGGACATGAGCCCTTGCAGCTGTTTGGACACCCATCCACATTGTGGCTGCCTCATATCTTCCTGGGGTTCTTCTGCATCTCATACCTTCTCTCCCTGACTGTCCTGCCTCTGACTTGTGCATTTTGAGACCTGCCTCTAAATTACTGTATAATCAAGCAAATATGTGAACAGGGGGCTCTACAGGTGCCTTATCTGCACAGAGAGCTGAAAAATAAGCTGAGAAGTCAGCTGAAGGTAAATATACAAACTAGAATGAGATTTTCAGGAGGAGGTATATGTCTTCAAGGATCTTTTTTGTCATGTTATAAATTGACTGCTGAAAATACTGTATGAAATATGAACTGTATTCAGAGAGTGTTTATTGCATACAAATACAGCTTCTACAGTTCTCAGTGGGTTTGCACAACTGTATTAAAATTCACTCTATAACATCAGTGGTAAAACCTCCAGCAATCATGTGATAGATTCTTGTTGATAGTGGTTTCTACAGTGTGCACTTCACTACCCAAGAATCCACCAACTGTCTTCTCCACAGTCAGCTGAGAAGTCTCGTGTGGAGTTACAAAAATTTATATTTGCTGCTTCCAGCCCACGTCTTCCTCATTGCAACATCCAAACACTAGTTTTAGGAGCAAACTAACAAACTTAGAGGCTTATATAGTAATCGTAGTTCGTATTAGAAGAAATCTCATGAGTGAACCTAAATCTATCTAAACAGAATAATGTCAGAAAAGTATAAATATGTTTTATGGGTTTCTAACAGTAGAGATGGTCACACTCAGGGATGAGTCCTTAGCCTCTTCCTGTTGAAATTAAGAGGAAAAAAAAATACCACTGGCTTCAAAGAGAATTAAGAATTATCCTGGGACTACTAAAGTCATCAGTGAATAGAACTTTGCTTCTCTTCTACCCTTTCCCACAGATTTACTATCTTATTTTCTAAAATAAATTCAAAGAATGTTGTTTATTTTAGAAGACTACAGGCTGAAGGAAAAAACTGTGCAGAAGGATAGATTGAAATCCTCTTGTTTCAGTCATCTTCAGATGGAAAATTCAGGTTGATTTAACCCACTGTGCTATGTAGCAGGACAGCACTGGTAAATGTTTTTTACATGTGAAAATAATGGAAAAGACATGAATTATGGAGAAATTGTTTGATTTTAAACTCACATTTGTACAAACCAACCCCAGTAATGTCTCTCCTCGAACTGTATACTGAGGTATATTGTGTCAGAATCACCTGCCCCATGTCTCTCCCACAGGACTTCATTTCTGAATGAATTCTCGAACAGAGGGTGAGCAGAGGGCAGGAAGTGAAAGCTTTCCTAATCCTAATTTGACAGCTCAAGTGTCGTATGAGCCTTTTAACAGATGTCATTCAAGGGCCAACTTCTCCCACCTGGAATATCTACTCTCATCATGAAATAAGCAAAACTTCTTTCACAAAACCAGATACCATAGAGTATAATCTTATTATTAAATAGTATTAATGGATTTCCCTTCTGTTTTTGCTTTTCAGATGTTTATACTCCAAACAGCTCCTACTTTGACAGTGTACATTTTATTCTTGATACAGTAAAGAAAACACTATGTTCCTCAGCTTTATGAAGCCTTGTTCCATAAAGATATTTGCAATATCCCAAGAATGTTTGCCAAGTGGTTGTTGACTCTTATTTATTATCTGAATGGTAAAAATCTGCTTAGATTGTTCTGATGAGAAGAGTGCAAACTGAGCTTGAGAAAGGTCTCAGTGTCCACAGTGAGCACCTTCTGGTGGTAATATTCATTGAATTAACGTACCTGCTCTTCTCTTCAGCCTTGAAGAAGAGAGAATAATAATTCCCAGAAGTTTATTAGAAGCCAGATGTTGAACAGGAATAAAAAAGCCAGAAGAAGAAGGGACCAACACCAAAATTATTTTACCTTGATGAAGTGTGCTCTGTGAGAAGTGCCTACAGGCCAAATGTTGACCCTTTACAGAAAGTCTTTTACCCACTGGGAGGCTTCCTTTATAGACAAGTGCCTTAGAGACCACTTGGAGATTGGGAAGGAAAAAGATTGATGGGTTTTAGGCTTTGAACTGCTTTAGTGATGTACTCTTTGTTCCATCAGCCCCACTTTTTCAGGAAAAAAAGTGTATTTTGTTAGCATTACTCAGCTAATGGAACTGCATTTCAGTTTTGCAATATCTTGGCATTCTGTTTTCATCTTGCTTTGGGATGAAACGCATAAAATGTTTTAGATATCCTGTGTATGTTCTTGCAGTTGGATCTGGATTTACAAAGATGACATATTTTGACATTTTGAGCAGAATCTCGTTTTGGCATTTGAAATAAATATTGATTCATACCAAACTGTTTCAATTCAAAACTGTCATTTCAGTTTGAAAATAGCATTAAATTGGCTTTTGCAGCTGAAATGTCAATTTAAAAGAGAATGTTTCAGCTTAAATTGACATACAGGAACAAAACATTTTGATTCAGAATTTCCACTTGTGGGAGAGTAAAAATATTTTTTGTTGTTGGCCAAAACATTTTTTTCTCAATTGCAATGATTTTCATGAAACCAGAGTTTGCTACAACAAAAGGAAAACAATTATTTAATGCAAAACAGTTAAATCATTTTAGCACTTGGCACTATTGTTCAAATCAAGGCCCAAGAGCAGTCAGACTTGTTTGTCCTGCTTTGCAGACCTAGCTAAAATATTCGAGTTCATCCTTGTGACAGTTGCTCATGAAGAGCTGTAACTACCATCATCATCACCATCACGTTCCTCCCCAGTGGACCCCCCTCCCCCCAGAAAAAATGCACACATACAGCTCTGAGCTGGTTCCCAGTTTCACAAGAGAAGATGGTCAGGATTCATCTGCCTGTTCAGGTTCATCCTCTGCAAGAGCCAAGAGGCTTCATTAATTATACTGCTTTTGGTGATTGGGAACTAAATGGAGAGTGAGCTCTGTTGGATTTGCTTCGAGGTGTCCATCTCGATCTTACTAATTCTTTGTTGTGCTCTTCTCAAATTTCATCCTCTTCGAAACTTATATCAGACTCCTTCATGTTCCCCAGCTCTTTAAAGGTTGCTTTTGTTAGTGTTCTCTTTGTGTCCCTCAGGACAGATTTGAGTTTCCTAGTCAGTACATCTGGCCAGTTGTGGCTGTAAAACAGGAGAGGGGAAAGGAGGGGAGGGGAGAGTTAAACTAAATGGCCTTGAAACACCCTTTCCAACCCAAAGCATTCTATGAATCTATGACTCTATGATCTTATCTGCTGGTCAACTGTACCTTGCTAGTCTATGGTTTGGCCAGCAACATGCAATTATTTGGCCGTTTACTGTATTTCCTGAACAAGAAAGAATCTTGAAGGATCTCCTGTCACTAAGCTGAGTTCATAGCATGAGAGATCAGAACAGAAGGAGAGTCAAATTCTTGAGGAACAAGGAAAAAAAAAGGAGAGAAAATAACTTGAAAAATTGAAACTCTGTATTTTTGGGTAATCCCAGACTTTTGTCCATGCAGGATACTCTACCTGTATTCTTATGTATCTAAAGGTCAGCAAAGAGCAATACAGACCGTACTAAGATTCATATGCCATGGATCCCTCTATAAACATAACAGCTAACCATCACACTGGGGTGAAATCTCACCACTCAGAACTCCAAAATGAGTTCTGACTGACTTGCATGGACTTTAAGTCTCATCTCCAAAGTGAGATCAATCCACAGATCCGAGGGAGTCTGACCTCTCTGTGGAACAGTTCTCTGTTGTTTCTTGAATTTAAAGAGAGAAATCCCTTTCTCCTTATCAGAAGTATTTTAAGATGCTATGGGTGGGATTCATCTGCCTGAGGACATTATCCGGGAGTGTTTGAGATGCCATGGTTTATCCTACGTGGTCTTCAGCTGCTGTTTCATCTACAGCCTTGCACAAGTGTCTCTACAAACATGATGCTCTGGGCTGAATCCCACTCACATGAGTGGGTTGGAAGGTACGTGTTAAGGTCACAGATCCTACCTCAGGACAAAGTATAAGATTCACTAGTGATATAGTCAAGGGGTTTATCTTCTGGTAACTGGAGATGCACTCAGGTGTTCCTCATGCTTTGATGAACATTTTTACCAAGATCCATCCAGAACCATCACTTCCCTTTGAAATAAGGTGTCCACTAAAGACAGCAGAGTCCACAGCCACTCCTTCAAGGTTAAAGGATTTGATTCCTGAGCATGAAGAGCAGAGTCTTGACCTTCCTCTAGACTCCAGACCAGATGAATACTCCTAAATATAATTACTCCAAGATGGGGATCCCTATCCTATTGCAGCAAGAACCCTTTGGGACTGTCAGCTGTTTATGGTCCCAGACTAATAGGATCATACACTGAGTGAATGGACTATGGACCGCTATATCTGAGATCTGTGGAAAGTGTTCCTTTATTGTGTCAAGGAAAAACAAGGTTATTGGTGGCATATTCCCTTTTACCATAAGCATTTAAAGTAGCTTAGCTGGAAACATCACTAAACCACCAAGCAGGCATGTTGGGAATAACTAGCTATTGAGGACTTAATTGCCTCCATTGAAAGCTTCATGCACACAAGAAGGATTGAACTAGGACCGTTGATAAGATCCAGGTATGAATGCCTTATTGATTTTTCAGCTATTTCCCATAGATTGAGCCAAGTTGGCTAGTAAAGACCTTCTCTTCTCCATAATATACTACTAATCAGCCTGTGGGTGATATAAATACTAAATATTTATGTATCAGTATATGTGCAGGTTTTGTCAAGCAGGGTTAACCCCAGTGAGAGATGCTCTTTGTCGTTGGCCTTGGAGGACTAGCTGGTACTCTTAGGTGTAAATCAGCAGGGTGGTCTTCTGTACCTTGGAGCTTATATTTAGCAGCCAATGTTCTCATATGGTAGTGCTTATTGCAGCTCTCTGCGGATTGGGCCCCATATTTAAATCCTTTATTTTATTTTAGTTTTAGTTTTTTAAGGAGGAGTTTCTGCCCAGATCCTTGACAGGGAGAACCTCAAAATTTAAAAATCTTTTAAGGGAGATAAACCAGCCTAGTAACACACACTGAATCTTTAAAAGTTGTGGTTGGGAAGGAGGAACACAGTCAAAAGTTATCTGCTGGGTTTTATCCTTATGAGAAAATTAGATGGAGCTTTAGTCTTCGTAGTAATCTATCAGCCTGATATGATGTATCTTAGGGGTTTGTAACCATCCTGTATCTAGGTACTCTGGGCTTTCATCTACCTCTCCTTTTTTTAAGAAAGTGGAAATTAAATACACATTAGTTCAGAGGAACTGAGCAAAAGCATTATTGCTGTTTTTAGAGATACTATTAAGAAAATCTAATCATACAGCATTTTCAGGGGACACCATACATGTGCATGTGTGGGTGTGCATGCTTACACGTCAGCCTTGCTCTGGTAATACCTCCTTGATCAGACACCTCAGGTCATGCTGTAATACTCCATGCAACTTCTGAATTTCACCCAAATCACCCTAAATCCATTATGTCTCGTACTTGTAGGTATCATAATGATTAATAACAGAGCTACATCCTTTTAGATGTCATGAGATATGGGATTATACTAGGCAGGAGATATACATTACAGGAAAGCAACAATAGGCAATTTGGATTTTTCCAGGTTTGAACAATTTTATCATTGTGTTTACCATGTAGTGGTCTCCTCCTGGCACAGTGCACATCAACATTCAATGGACTGATAATACACTGCAGGTAAACACAGTAATATTGTATGCCTTTCAGGAATTAATATGATAGTAGAGCATAAATTCACTAGGAAATCACCCAACAAGGCTACCACTATCTTTAGACAGCTTTACTGCTGTTCTGAACACATTTTGAATGAGACACTTTAGAATAATAATACAACATATTAAAAAAATAGAAAGGAAGAAAAACAAATTAAAAAGGAAAAAAAAGACACTAAAACCAGCAAAGTGCAGACACACGACATGCAAGCAGACACTAAGCAGAAGAGCTACATTGGGACTGTCCTACAGCTACTACCTCAGATCTAGGCCCTTTTGCCAAGGCTTTTTCAGCTTTCCTCCTTTTGAACTCTGCAATTTCTTCCGGGAGTAACCCATGAGCTCTATACCTGCAGTGAACAGGCAGGCCATTAGAGAAAGAACCAGTTCAGTTTCATCTGTAATAAAGAACAGACTGTAATGTAGACTAAGTGAAAGTTAAGTGTCTTCTGGTGAGAAAAAGGAAAACAAATATTGGTCCTGGTCCTGGTTTTATTTATTCCCATTTTGTATCCTTTCAACTTGAAATACTGCAAAAAGTGAGGTCAGCTAATTAAATTTTAAGTTTCCAGAGGTCTCTTGGTACTCTTAGACACTTCTCCCAGGACAAGATGAATGACTTTGTTGATTGAAGAGCACAAACTATATGACTATCATGACTGTTTCAGAATCTATTAGACAAGATGAATCCTGGGAGAATGATTCCATTATTCCACTGATCCTTCTCCTCATTAATTAAAGGAAAGGAAAGAACAAAACTGCTGTGAAGACCTCACCTTTGGTTGGTTCAGTTCCTGTCTCAGTGCCTTTTGGTCTTCCAGAGGTGTTGCTTTCAGAAGATCTCATCTCTCAAAATTATGGGCAAATTTCCTAATGGAAATCCTATTTAACTGTCCCTGGAGATAGCCAGCTGTCTCTGAAAGCTTAGCACAAATTTAAAAGCCTTTCCTGAGAGAGATCAGAGTCAAGTTTCAGCTCTTTTGTCAGTTCTGTTCTACAGATGGAAATGTCTAGTCAAGTTGTCCTCCCATTCCTTAACTAAATCCTCAGCTCTGGGAACATCCTTCTTCTTTTTAGAAACATTGATCCCTGTTTATAAACTTCCTAATGAGTGCTGGAGCATTTAGGGCTCTGTCCAAAGGACCGGGAAGCCAGGAAGATATAACCCTGATGGGCTCAATGAGGAATGACTTCTGGGAATCTACAATTCAGGTGGGATTTAGCTCCCTGCCATTTGTCTCTCTGCAACGGAGATATTTTCATCTGAGCCAAATATCTTGTGTTCCCTTCTCAGCCAGTAGAGGGGAGCTGACACTGCTGGAACACAGCAGGGGTTTATCCCAAAGTAGTTATCCTTTGTGAGACAGAAGATCTGCACCTAGAAATGTCTATTTCCCTGCACTGACTCTTAAGATGCGCAAGATGACCAGATCAGATGGAGGCAAATAACATTTAATAAGATTAAATCTTGACTATTGGAGGAAGAAGAGGAATCTTTGTGTCCATACCCTTTTTGCAAGCAGTAGCAAAATTCAGCCACAGGGTGAGTGTGAGTGGTTTGTTCCTTGAATCCACTTGGCGGGACTCACCCGCAGAGGAGTGGAGGATCTTGCTGCCTGTGTCTGCACAACAGTGCAGCGGGTTGTGACCCACAGAAGGTGAAGACCTGATCAGGGTATTTAGGGATGAAGCACAGTATGAGATTGAGGTCCACCTCCAAACATTGCTCACACAAGTATCAAATAACTATGATAATGACTTGACTTTCATCCACAGCTCCATAACAAAAAGAAAGATCCTGTGCAAATAGAACTTGCACCTCTCCTGAACTCACTAATGTCTGAGCAACTGGAAAGGTCTGGTTCTGCACCCTCTACCCCATCCTCTGTCTTTTTTAAGACAGCTGTTATTTTTCCAAGGTCCTCTCTTCCTACCACCTTGTTTCCAAAGCCAGCAGGAGAAAATCTGTTAAGTCCTGACTTTGTTTCTATTCTGAATACTGCTTTTAGGGTTTCCTGCCATCAGCACCAATTCTCTAATATTCCTGTCAATTCTTCAGAAACCTCAGCTTGCTCAAAAAGAGCCTGTTTAAAAATAAAAGATGAAGGAACCATATCACAAGTCAGACAGTCTTTTTCAAAGGGAGATGTCACCAGCTTTCATTCCCTCCCTCCCCTCAATCAGATTTCAGAGAAAACTCTTCTTTCTCACAATCATTATGCCACAGCCATGATCAAAATATTCCTTTTTCTTTATTTTGCTGCCATGTTAGGGGGTCAGAAACAATATGAAAAGAAGGGATTGATTGTGAAGCAAAAAGCATGTGTCCTAAGATTCGATGATCAAGTCTATGAGTATGAGCCAGAGGATGTTCGGATTTCCCCAGATAGCTCTTGTTATATGTTATATAAAGTTTATCTAGGAAATATTTTGATACTGTTTCATAAGTCCAGCTATGGAAGGACAACAGAAGTTTTTTGCTGCTGTTTGCCTCACAAGCTCTTTTATTTCTGATTTAAAAGAGCATCAGGTGAAAGGCTTCAAATAGGAGACTGAATAGAAATCCTTTCTCCCGGGAAAGACACATTGGCAGCAACAGCAAAAGCAGAGGCTCTCTACCAATCAACTCTGATCATACCATGGTGCATCAATACAGACAGAACAATGAGAACCTTGTACTGAGTAGAAGAAAAAGCCATGTTTTCCTAATGGGTACCTTTTTCCCATCTCATAAAAAGGTGATTCTCATTTGGTGTTGGGAGATGGATTCTTTGAGCATCCTTCACTATTTCTCACCCATTTATCTTCAAACAAGGATCTCAGTGCTTCCTCCAGGGATGATCCTCCTGTATGTGAGGATGAGAGAGCCCCCAGACTCACTCCTATCCATGCCTGCATCTTCAGTTTTCAGTGATGTCTCATGCCAGGCTGCACTCATCGCTGTGAATGGTGGTGGGCTGGATAACCTATTGACCCCTGGGGACTTAAGACCTACTGCATGATTTCATGTGAGGTCAGGAATCTGGGTTCGATGTTAAAAATCAAAAACTCTCATATGTGATCTACCTGGGCACTGAGTTCATAATTAAAAACCCTTGAGAAGATCAACAATCTGTATCTTTCTTTGCTGAATTGTGTTATTTTTCCCCTCCAGTTAACTTTCCATAACTAATTTAGAATAGTCTTAGAAAGGGAAAGTTTCTGGATAAAACTACCTGTTTTTTTACTTTTTCCTATGATTACTGTAACATTCATTCAACTGCTGCATGATGATCTATGGGGACAGAGACACTGCAAAAGAACAGTGAAGATCTGTGCCTTGGGACAAGAGCAGAAGACCACCTCCCTCTCTGCAGTGCTACAGGTGGACTTTACAGTGGTTACACACAGATGTTCAAGATCTTCTGATCCTGTGCACATGGGAACATTTTTACTTCTCTTATTTTGTGCCTGGACCTGATTTATTTTCTGCCATTTACAATCCATGTTTAGAAACAGCTCAGCCCTGCATAAATCTGACTTTGGTTAACATGACCAGAGGCCAGAATCTTTGAAAGTGATGAAAAGAATCTCAATAGTCAACAGAAGCTTAAATCATGACTTTAAGATAATAAAACCAGGATGAGAAGAATCTACTCATGAAGTAAAAGTCTAAGTGCTTCCTTGGTTGCATGGTAAGCTAGCCCACCTTGCTAATATGGCAAAATTCCTCCAAGTTTCATATTTCCCATGAATAATTCATCATTGGTATCAACACACATTATTCAATAGCTCACTTCCATCAAATATTAATAGTAAAATGTCTTCAGGGCCTACGAAATATTGTCTCTCAAAATTACCCTTCAGTAAACTTCTATTTTCACCCTGACTGACACCCAAACAGTTTTAAAATGATGTCCCCAAGTACAGTAATACTGTAAGTTCCACCTCACTCCAAGAAAGCTCTGGGATGGCTCTGAGCATATGGACTGCCCTGTATGCAGCCTCCCAAGTTGACTATAGCATGCAGAGAGAGATAAAAAAAGAAGTCTTCATTTTACTAAGAGGAAATGAGGTAATACTTAGAACAAGATTGATCAGGAGAAGTCAGAGACACATTAAAACAGACTCTGTTTGTTGTCAGACATCTATCTCTGAGGTAGTCACTGTAGGATCTCTTTACAGTCAACAAAAGAGGCACCTTGCAAGGGCAATTCATCTTCTAATACAGACGTCCAAGCAAGTCAATCAAATCAGACACCATAGCTTATATTTGCCTTTATTGACTATAAAGGGAGTCAAAGCTGACAGCTTTTAATGTGGGTGACTACGCTGTTCTTGTCAAACAAATCTGACTTCTGTTTTGTATGTCCTGACCCCAGCATCCTTTCCAGGCATACAGCAAGTAACAGCTGAACAGGGAGTACTCTGTTTGCAAAGTCAGGTGTGGCAAAGCTAGAAAATGACTTAATGAATTTTGTGTGATCAATCTTTGCTCACCACCACCTGTATGGAGGTAACATCATTAAGTCTTCAGTTACCTAACAGTGCCATAATTTATAACACAAAGTCTCCTCTTTTTTATATTAGAGTGAAAGGGAAGAAATATATTTATATGTTGGATGAGGTTGGTGTTTTCTGCAGGAATTTTGATGGAGGGAGAGAAAAATCTGAGTGTCACCCATACACTGATGACAACAGAGACCTAAAAGTCTCCGTACCTGCGCATCTCCCATATGCACACAGAGTATGAAGGAGATTAAGGAAGCAACTCCCTGGTGCTCAATCTCCAAGGGAGTATAGGGGAGAAGCAGCAAGCTTCCATGTCACTTGGGAACTGCAACTAAGGAGAGGAGTTGAAGAAACCACATAACTTCTCAGTCTCAGTACTATGCCTGGACATACAAGTCACCTAAGGAAAATGACAGAGACTTTGCAAACAGATAACAAGGAAAGACAGGTATTCAGCCTGCAAACTCCAAAAAGGACCTTATAATGAATGTATTGAACAGTGATGAAGTCACACTTACCCTGGCTTTATTTCAGGAGGTTTAGGTAAGGGCTTCAGAAAGCCTTTTTTCCCAACCAGCCAATATGTGTCTTCTACTCCTTTACCCTAAAATAAAACCAAAAATCCAGATAAAGAGCAGCTTTCTGATTGCCCTCTACTCAATACATAATTTCGGCTGTATTTCTCTGGCTTCCTATATCTCCAGAGACAGACCATGGCTGGAAATCTTGGGCTGTCCTTCCAAACAGCTCAGGGATTATTTGAATTTCATTATCTTAAAGCAGGATATTCATTATCCTTATTCAAACTGTCATTCACAAATGACCCCTTGTGATCTGGGTCATTGAAACTACACAATTTAACAGAAATGGGAAACTACAGGATCTCTAATCACCTTATTTGGCAGCACTAGCATTATTAATTGAGAGATTTTACAACTCTTTCTGGACTGATTATCAGAATATAACTTCCTCTCCCACCACTAATGATTTAGTTTTTAAGGTGTGATACATCTGGTGAACTGTAGGCATTTATATCAGAGTCAATCACCCTTGACTGAAGAAGTGGAGAAAAACATTCATCTTCACATAAATTGGACCCTGACAGTACATCAGGTTAATAATTTTCTAAAGTGCCAATTTATCTGCACTAACTGTGTAAAGGTTTCTTTCCACTGACTAAACCTGGAATAATTACCTCTGATCTCCACTTGCAGACATACGAACTCAGATGAGATGAATTCACTTTTCATGAAAGATTGTTGAGGGGCCCGAAGCTGTATTCAGAGCTTTAATTCGAGGTGTTTAAGGCAAGTAAAGATTCTAAGTCTATTAACTACGTAAGGGTAGAAATGATGGTTGAATTATTTAGTACTTTCTTGTTTGGACACTGAGAAGTAGCAGCTTCTCTTAAGGTGGACTAAATAGACTACTAAATAAATACTTATATCCAGCGCATACAGTTGATTGCTCAATCCCACTCCCACAGTGCTTCAAACACCACCTCATGTACTGAAACAACTGGAAGGGACAATTTTGGAAGGATTTATCAGAAGAGTGGTGGATGAAGGCCAAACAAGACCTTACTATGTGAATTCCCTAAACAAGAAGACTCCCTTGTGAAGTGCTTAACACAGCCCCAGCCCTTCTTACCCTCAGTTCTGTTTTCCCTCTAGGTATGATTTCATAGCCTTCATTCAGACTCCGAAGTGTATCCACTGTACTTTGGCTGACATGAATTCTGTAAGCTGGGAACAGAAAGCAAAACAGCTGAATCAGTATGCTGCACACAGGCTGCAAATTCCCCACTGCTTCATACTGATGAGGAAAAGTGCTCCAAAGCATGCAGGTGTGTAGCTGGTGTAGCTGTGTGGTGCTCCTCTAAATAGAGTTCAGTGCTGACTGATGGATCCTTTCAGGCAGGGCTGTAACAAGCACAGGGGCAGAGGAGATCCACACTGGGGGCTTCCTGCAGATGGATACCAAACACACTAACTGCAGAAGCCCAGCTCAACAAAGATAGTAAGTGATTTTCCAGTGACATTGTCAGCTGGATTGCTCTTTTATCTATTGCCACAGAATAACTAGGGAATGGGGAAAAAAACCCTAAAATAACTAACTGTCCTGCTCCAGACACCCAACATAAATAGAAAGCTGGGATGAAGAGCAGAGAGATAGAGTTTGCAAGGGAACATAAAGAAAATGTGGCTATGAATCTAGATCTGTCTGGGCTTTCAGTAATTGATTCCACCCAGAGCTACCATTAAGTCTGAACAAAAAGGGCAAAGGTGGAGAACCTTACTGAATTCCTAACTCTCCCAATTTGTTTTACAGCCCTTGCTGGAACTCCCTGAAATTTGTTATTGTTATGCTAGTGTGAACAAGCCAGGCAATGTTTCTAAAACTTTTTTTTCAAAGAAAAGTTCAAAGATACTTTTCTTTTTTGTTTTTATTGAGCTTTTATTTCAATTGTGTCAATCAAATTCCCTTCCCTCTTGAATGATGGGGGATGAGCCGATTAATTTTTTTTTTTGGTATAATAATCTAAAAGAAGAACATCAGTTGGAGTATGTAGAGGAAGACCTCATAGCTATGAGCTACATTTCCTGAGAGACTAACCTACAGTTTTCCTGTTGTTACTTATCTATATGCATTTCTACTAATGTATAACAATGCTCTTGTATCTGCATTGATCCTGCTGCCTCCATCTCAGTGGGACTTTCTACAACCAAGGGTATGATGGAAGCAATGCCCTTGTGTACTTCAACCCTTGCTTTGTACTGGTCGTGACAGGTAAATGCATTATTTTACTGTGCAAGAACAGCTCTGAATTAAGGGTTCTCAGCACTGACTGAAAGCAAGATGCAACCTGTGTCAGAGAAAACTAGGGCAAGATTCATGTTGATTTTAGTTGATGGGATTCAAATTAGAGGACTGGAGATGGAAGGCAGGGTCTTGAAGGCAGGGTCATAAAGGCTGACCTACAATCGCAAAGCTGACGCCCTGTCTTTCGGACTGCTTTGAATTTTGTCATTTGACTTACCCTTTTTCAGTTGCAATGATTATAATTACAGATGTGCATTTCTCTTGAGAAGTTAGTTCAACCACCCACCCCAGGGACTGTCCCAAATACTCACGCAGGCCTGTGGACTCCATCCGTGACGCTGTGTTCACCGTGTCTCCAAAGAGGCAGTACCGTGGCATGGTCAGCCCCACCACGCCTGCCACACAAGGCCCTGAAAGACATATCATCTGTGTAACCCAGATGGTATTGCACAAATCTTGGGGCTCACTGACAAACAAATCTCATCCTCTCCTCTGATATCCAAAAAGCCACGTGTAAATACAGAAGAAAAGTTTTTAAAGATCTCACTGACCTTAGTGCTTGCTATAAGCAATCAAAAATTAAGCGCTGGTCTGGATTGCACACTGGTGTTTTATGCCTGAGAAAGGTCATGCGTGGTAGGACCTCAGTTTACCATCATCTGGAATAAGTTTGTCCAGAGTTCACGGAAACTCAGGGACTACCATAACCTCATTTTAAAAAGACCTTTTTCCATGTGAGAAGATGAAAGTTCAGATCCTGTGATATGCCCTGTATCACAATGAAACAGGATTAAAAATCAGCCTTGGAAGCCTAGAGCTGCTAGCAGCACTCTGGACCACCCTGTGTCCCCTCCTGGGAAAGGAAATCATCATTAGCTTGCCTTTCTAGCCAAAACCTGGTTTTTTTCTTTTATTTCAATTTTTGTACAAAATCCATTCACTTCCAAAGTAGCTTCCAAAGAATTGATGCCAAGTGTGTATGCAGGATTCACAAGAACATGCACACACTGAGAGATGAAATGTGTGACAGACAAACACCGTAGACAATTGTCATCCATGGCACATGGCTTAGATAATGTTTAGACTGCACTCTGAAAGATAAGATGTTAAATTTCATCACCCACAATATAAAATATCAGGCCTGCAAAATAAAAGCAACGTAAGGAGATGTGGGGTTTCTTGCAAAGAAAAGACAGGAGGCACAGTATTTTCCATTAGATGCATTTATGAGATATGTCTCTGCCTTTTCAATGTCTTGATCCTTCTGAGTTAAGATTTAGTATAACTGATATCTAGGAAATCTTTTACCATGCAAGTTTGCAAGAGATGGGAACATTGTACATCATCAACAGTACCTGAAATGATGCTATAGATAAGGTTGTATGTTAAAGTGTTGGGGGTTTTGTGGGTTAAATTATTTGTTTTTAAAACAGTAACAAATATAATTGCAGCCTAATTTAGAAGTGATCAGGTACTTGTTTTAGTACAATGTTATTTTACTGTGATTTTAGCCTTATTTACAAAAATTGATTCTTTCAGATACATCTTAAGGACAATGAAACTCCGTAGCTGAAAGCTACAGGAAACTTTGCAAGAACCCCTATTGTTGTAACCTCTGAAAAGTTGTTGCTACACAAAATTACCAGATTTTAATATACTTTATGAGGATGCAAACTGAGAGGCGAGACAGATTTTAACTCTTACCTGATGAAGCACTGCTAGATTAAATATCAGAAAAAAAAAGAGACAGGAAGAATGGGTCATACCAAAAATGTTACAAGGATTTAAACAGCATATCTGGATCAAACACAGCATGCAGAGACTGATGGAAATCATAAAAACCTGATTTAAGGTTTGGAGTTTTTTAACCGTCAACAAACTTTGGACAAGACACTGTTCCTCAGAATACCTTCCAATTTAATTCCCATCCTTATTAGTACATTCTAATTTGTTTCAAGCTTTTCAGGAGAGGAGCTATATCCATCACAGGAAGTCTTTTCAGTTTTTAGTCTATAGGCACTTCTATAGCATAACTGTAAGGGCACTGTTGAGACTTCTGGGCCAAGGACCTAACACTTACCTAAGTGGTCTTTAATCTGTGCATGCTAATGTGACATATACATAAAAAAGGGTCTTGTTGGAGACTTTTTAATTCACGCTTCAATAAGAGCTTTTCCTGAGAAAACGCTTTCTCAGAAAGCATCACCTCTCTTTTTCTTGTGGTGATGACATGACAGCAGCAGTCAGAAATCTCAGTAAGAAACAAAGCTCCTTCTGTAGTAGGTGTTGCAGGGACACAAAAAGATGGTTCCTGTTAAAAAAAAACAGTCCTCCCTGAAGAGGATTTGATTCCATCTTAAGAAGCACAAGTAAAGGCAGTCAAGCTTCTACTGCTGTCAGTGGAGACAAGTCATCTGGTCAACTGAGCTGTGAGAGCCTTTCTATTCCTGCACCTGAGCAGTTCTCCAGGGTTCACTTATGTGTCCTCAAAAAGAATGCAGGCTCCCTAAAAACCCTGGAAACACCTCCATGTGGGTGCCTAAATTCAGGTGTCCTACTCAGTCAGTGCAATCATCTAGCCATTTCTGTGAACCTAGGAGAGGCCAGATTTTTAGGCTGAGGTACCTATGCAGGAAATTCCTAGTTCAAAACCAACCCTACAGTGTAAGCATTCCCAAAAGACTTCTCTGTGTTGAAAGTATCTAAGACTTAATTCACTCATTGCCTTCACTGCCTGGGTGTGTTCTCCCTTGTCTAGACAGCTTCAGCAAAAGGCTAGTAAAAATTTCCAGTGGTAAATCTCCCACAGTAACCAGTTTCAGAGGAAACCAGACACCCTGTGATGAGAATGTTATGGCCTAGTTATTTAATTACATAGGTTCACAGGTTTGCTTTGAAATGGCTCTTTGCCAGGGCTTGCAAGGATCAGTTAATGAGAGGTTCTGGCTAATACTCTGCAACAACCATCAGTGGTGCTGCAAAGTACAGGGCTGACTGCCAGAGAGCCTGACCAATAAACAAATCTTCAGCCTCAGTGGAAAAGCTTGTCCTCTCACCACCACTCTCCCCAGCTGTCCAGCTCCAGCCCAGATACAGATGGCATGGAAACAGCTGAGTCAGCTGAGTTATCCTGGACATGCAGTGAAGTCAAGAGTGGAGAGACAAGATTCCAGGATTCATTCAAAGCAGGGGAGAAACTACAGACCAAACCTTGGTCTTCTTGTCCTCTTTACCTCACCCATGCATTGCCGTAAGTGGACCATGGACATGGGCCAGGAGAAGTTCCCAGAGGTACAGCTCTCCATTGGGGTTGAAAAGGACATGGGCAACCCATGCCCAAGTTGCATTTATTGCTTTTTCAAAGAGGTGATCACGAGCTTTTCTTGACATCACTTTCCAGAGAGCAGTTGAACTGCACAACTGGGGGGTCACACCCATTCTCCATCCTTTCCAGTACAGTGAAAGTGTCAGCCAAACTCTCCTCTCCCCCAGCTGCCTCCTCAATGCTTTCATGATGCTGATGATTCCCTCTTCGTGCTTCTTTTCTCAGGAGAAATAAGGTCTAAGGTTAATCAAACTCTGCTGTCAGCTCAGTGCCTCAGAGAGCTGGTTTGCTTTGGAACATGGAATTGTGGTTGCTCCCATGACAGTACTATGCTGCCAGATCTGTGCAAAACAAGATCTGATTCCTGCTTCTTTAGAAAGAAAACACCAACTCCTCCCCCTCTTCCTCTCACACCCAATACAACAATTCTTAGCAATTCTGCATTCCAGCTACCTAGAGTTCATAAAATCAAGAAAAAATATAACTACCCCCTGTACATATCACCTAGGGATAGATTTTTTGGCATACTGTATGGAAGACACATTGCAGACCTGCTGTCAACAGGCAGTAGCAGATGTTGCACATCAATTTCCTCTCTTTCCATGTTGAAAATATGCTCCTTGTCCTCCAGAGACTCCTGTTTTGGGCAAGACAAGCCTGGGCCATAGTCTCACGTAATTTCTGATAGAGTATTAAACACACAGTCCTCCTGCAATCATTCCTTTAACACTTTAGACTTCTGTGAAAGGCCAGCTAAGGCTCCCAAACTTCAAAGAAAACAGCAGGGAGATGACTTTTAAAGAGATATCCCCAAAGGAAGATCTTGCAAGGTCTAGGAGATATGAAACATTAATCTTAACTCTGCTCAAGTCACAGGTCTGTTCTTTGGATATTCTGGGTGAGATACTTCCTTTCTTCTCCTTCTGTCTCCCAACATGTATAACAGAAACCAGAATACTGACATCTGTAAAATGCTTGCATGACACAGTTGCAAAAATGTGGACATTATGAGATAGGTAGGAGGATTAAACCTCCTGTAATATTAGGTGAGATTCCTGGGCAGTCTTTTTCATTGTTTAGCTTCCCACAATGGGCATTACCTGATACTGTAGAGGAAGACGAGAGAAGTCTGGTGACAAACAGCTGGGAAAAAATCTATTAATGGATGATTACAAAGTGTATAAAATTATGAAGGTTCATATCTCTTGTAAAAATATTGATTCTATGATAATAGCAGATGTATTTTCCTACATTTAAAAATCATATTTTTGCCTATGTAACGGCAGTCTTGGTTTTTTGTTTTGTTTTGTTTGTTTTTTTGTTTATTTTGGAGTTTAATGATATTTTTTAGATATATAAAAGAAAAGAACTTTCTCTTTTCTTTTTAAACAAGCCACTTTTCTGTTAATTGACTAGATTATGACTTCTACATTAGAGATAATTTGTTTTCTTTATAACAGAACTTTTTCTTAAGATCTGTATCATATTTTTCTTCCAGTATGTCCTACCTGTAATAAATATCACCATATTTTTTATTCTTTCACTTTATATGCCAGTTTTTCTGTGCTTTTTAATTTCAGAATAGAGTAGACATCACTGGATGTCTTTGTATCCCACCACTGAAGATCTTATGGCACATCAAAGATCTATCTGTACAATGAAACCCTTGTGACTAATAATCTCGATGCAGTTCCTAACTGGGACAGAATACACAATGTCTCCCTGAAATGATACTTAGCCATTCTCCTCCACAAACCCTCTTTGGGTTTTGTGTTTCCATTTTAATGCCCCTGTTGATATGGAAGATTTTAACGTGTCTTGTAAGAGTGTTTTTTGGGGGGCAGGAGCGAATAAAGCATTTGAAGCTGGAAATACAATTGTGAAGGAGTTCTTTGATGTTCAGGTGCAGGTGGGTGCTGCTGCTTACCTGTGTGCAGGCCAATTCGTATCCTGAGGGGAATGTCTGGCATATGCCTCATTTTGAATGTTCCTACTGAACTGAGGATGTCCAAGGACATATTGGCTATCTCAGCCGCGTGCTTGTTCCCGTTCCGTTTTGGTAGTCCTGAAGCAACCATGTAGGCATCACCAATTGTCTCCACCTAGCAAATACCATTACATTAAAAAAATAAATTAAAAAATTGAAAAAGATGGAAAGGACACATAGAATAAAACTACTTCTCACCTTGTAAACATCATGATTTCCAAGAACAGCATCGAACAGTGTGTAAAGGTCATTCAGAAGGTCAACTACTTCAATGGGCTCACTGAGGGCTGAAATGGATGTGAAGCCCACGATGTCACTGAAGTAGATAGTCACCTGGTCAAAATACTCTGGTTCCACAGTGCCACCAGTCTTGAGAGCTTCTGCCACTGATCTGAAATAACAACACCAGCAAAGTTGGCAGGGCACAAACCCTTTTCTACTGCATGCCCAAGAGCTCAGACTCTTTTGTCCTACTTGTTCAGAGTATCTTTCACTTAATAGAAAGTTCTATATGGCTGTAACAAGTACTGATTAAAGTTTCTTACTTTGATTGGAAGGTGCTGGCCAAAATTAGAGGTCAGCTGTACAGTGTTGCTCACTTCTGGGGAAGATTTTTATCCAGTCAAGCTATGGGTTATTTGGTTTGGTTTGGGGTTTTTTTATACCACCTAAAGTACCAGTACTTACGGGGGAAGCATTTGTGACAGTAGTTTTTCTGTCTTCTGTTTTTCAATTTCTAGCTCTTCGGTCCGCTCCCTGATTAAATCTTCCAGGTTGCTTGAGTATTGCTCAAGCATCCTGAGCATTGAGTCAATAATATTGGTCTTTTTCCCTTTGTTGATTGTTTTGAACTGGAAAATAAAACTGGAGAGTTATTTGTCCATCTCATTACACCACTGTAGCACTCTAAGTTTGGAAAGGAATGAAAAGCAAACACTTATTTTCAGGGTTCAGTGCTAAGGACTTCCTTTATCAATGGGAAGAGTTCAACAATAAAGGAAAAAGGCAAATTAGAAGGTGAATTTGCATCAATACCTATGGAAGCTGTCCAGGAGCATGTCGCTCATCTATGAACTTTCAGTGACAGTTCCCTTACATCACCTTACAGTAGTTGTCAACATTGTTGTTATGGAGTCTTATCAGGCTGCAGGTTTGCAACCCCATTTATCCTATGACCAGTCTTTAGAGTAACTTGAAAATCTTTGCATTCAGAGGTACAAATTTCAGGGTATTAGGAACACTTACAACCTGCCCACACCACACCCCCTGGAGCCCCTGACTGGCTGCAGAACCCCTCCCTTTGGCTAGGAAGACACTCGAGTGGTCAGTGAACCAAAGGTCCTGCCTAGAGAGAGGGGGCCACAGTAGATAGAGGCACACATAACGTCTCCATCTTGCCTGGTCTCCTCAAAGTTGTCAACATGTGACCTTCCACTGGTAACTATATTTTTCTCTCTTTATTCTTTCTTCTCTTAATCTCTCTTCCTTTACTCTTTTCTTCCTCTTGTGGGTAACTTAAACACCTATTTTCTGTATTTCACTAAAGTTGTAGGTATCTCATCTAAGTTGTATAGGGGTTTGTGTTTGCTGGGTGTTCCCTACTCTATAGCAAGTCCTAGCAGCCTGTTGTAATACTTTTGTGAAGTTGCATGTAATCTCTGTAAAACCCTTTTTGCCAAAATGCCTATTTTCTCACAAAATTTAAAAAGAAAAAGTCTCTTAGAGAAAAGTGTGTAGTCTTTTCTCTGGATATGAACTCAAAGTATCAAAGAACCAGAGTTGTTTGCAAGAATTCATATGGACAAAATCTCTTGAAGTCTAAAATTAAAGTGTGCACCCAGTGAAGCTAGACTGGGGTTTAACACTTGGTTTGAGGAAATGGCTTCAAGTTGTGTCAAGAAAGGTTTAAATTGGATATTAAGAAAATTCTTTTTTCACCTAAAGGGTTGTAAAGCATGGTGGCAGACTGCTCAGGGAAGTGGCAGTTACCATCCCTGGAGTGTTCAAAAAACTTGTGGATGTGGCCCTTGAGGACATGGTTTAGTGGCAAACATAGTGGTGGTGCTGGGTTGGCGGTTGGACTTGATGATCTTGAAGATCTTCTCCAACCTCAAGAAATCTATGATTCTGTGACCTTATAAGGACATAGGAACTGCACTACTGGATCAGAAAGAGGGCTTATTTTGCCAGTGCCTGCCCATGAGACTGGCCAGTAACAGACATCTAAGAAAGCTTTTCAAACTGGGCTCAGGTACAGTCATATTTCCCTGGGATGTTCTCCCATCCTCCACCAACCTGGAGTTGAGAGACCTCCTATGCCAAACATTATATCTTTGTGTTTAACAATCTTTGGCAAATTTTCCTTTTCCTCACCTTTTAAACTCTTCAGCAGATAAAAAAAAAAAAAAGGGAAAAGATATAAATGTGCTATCATAGTCTCCATGAGACAATCTGTGAAGGTACACTGCAGATGTGAAGACATCAAGCCCATGTCGAGGCTGCTTCACCACCTCAAGGTCAGGACAAGTCTAGGGCTCTTCCACTTCTTCATTCTTTAATAACTCAGTTAAAGAAAAAAACCCAAAACACTTCACTGCCAAGTACAAACAAAGGAATTACACCTACTGCTGTATTCACCAACCTTATGAAATATCTCCTCAAAGGTTGGACGTCGTTCAGGTGCTTCAGCCCAGCATTGCTTCATTACCTGGAGGCACGTCAGTGGGGCCACCTCAGGGGCTATGTTTGGGCGACACAGAGGAGGGGGCTTCTTCACTTTCTTTATAATTTCTGTGACAAAGAGAAGAATGGGAAGCATGTTGTGAGACGGAGGGTCTTGATAGAGGCAAGGGACTTTTCACCTGTCCCTTGCTTGTTTCTTCAGCCATTACTGTTATTTCTCAGCACCCAATGTCTGTGCCAAATGAAGTTGGAGGTTTCTGCTTTACTCTGTCAAGAGTCTCTTGAAGGATTTAAAAGAGATTCATCTGCTTTCTTGTCCCTGGAGAACCAGGTTATGAGCAATAAAGTGGCTGGATGGGGGAAGAATGTGTGACAGATGGATGTGTGAGCCTGCAGGCTTGTGTTTAATGAAATTCCCTCTGACTGTCTCCACTAGGACTGGCAGTCTTCTAAAACAGCAGAGGTTTATGGTTGAGCCCAGACAGGAAGAATAGCAGCCTCTGACACTTCCTGGTTAGCTGGTAACCAGTATGTAAGAGGTTATGTGAATGGAGACAGTGGAAACAATATTAAGGGGGAGAGTTTGGGTTCAAAACAACATCTGGGAAATTACTCCCTATCTAGAGGTGAAATGAGACTAATAAGGAACTGGGCTTGGGCTTTTAAGCCCTGAGAAGTCAGTCTCTAAAAAAAAACCCCACCAAAGTTATTGTATTTGGAAGTTTCATTTTGTGTAGTGCAGAGCAGTCAAATGGAGTGAAAACCACTCTCTCTGGCAGGAGCTCTGCATTTCCACAGCTGTTGCTGTGAGTACCCAAAGCTTTTCAGTGTTGACAGTTTACTTTAAGGCTCTTGGTTCACCCCACCAGTCTCCACCAAATGAACTAATCGAAGCACCCGGTCCAAATAAGTTGACAGACAGCCAAGGGAAAATGCCTTCCCCAGATTGTTTTAAAGTTCCCGCCACAAGTGAAAGCCCCTTGAGGATTAAAACACGAGTAGAGATCCATCATTTTATCAGGCTAGGAAATTGGACTGAACTGTGTTCATATTTGCTGGAGATTCTGCAGGGGAGTAAGAGCTAATTACATCATAGGCTACATCATAGGTCCAGCTCTGATTTACAGGATGGGATACACCATAATCATCATTGTCATTGCATTGTTGTACCATCTTCAAGCACAACAAGGTCGAGGCCCTGTTTTTTCAGGCACTGAAGTGGCAGATACTGAATGGTCATACCCTATTTGGTGACCACCCAGCTTAAAATGTGTTGAGAACAGGTTGTCACTAAAATCAGCTCAATTTAGATTGTTCTCAGTCCCTCCCTGTTCAACTGCTTGTGATGTGACCCAGACTGCAGTGACTTTACTCTTTCCATGCATGCACAACATGTTTGCACCAATGAATAGTTCCCAAGGAGCTTATATCTTTGCTATTTCCGATAGAAGTCACCTTATATATATAAGTAAGAGGTTAATGACGTATCACTTCAAACTCTGTTGAAGAGAGAACCTCTTTAAATGGAGAAGAATTAAGGAAAAATAGATGGGCAGGTGGACAAAATAGGATGTTGGCAAGGGGTCCAGCTCAAAAACTTCAACCCCCATGATGCACCTAAAAATGGGCTGTCAAATGGGAAGTTAAGGAGTGGGAAGCTATGGAAAATTCTACCCTCAGATTTCAACCCATACTGCAAAAAGTCTGGAGTTTGGACAGGGAACTGGAGGTGCTGCAGTGGCCTGACTGAGGCCGGCCCTGAATCATCTTGAGGGGTATCCAGAGCCCCAAGGCTGTGATCAGAACTACACAGTTTGATGTTTATTATGAATATTTTGTTGAAAACAAGCTTTTGTCACTGAGAAAACTCATGAGATTGATACATTATTACCATATTAATGTTTTAACCCAGGGGCTTGACCAGACTTTTTCTGAGTGCTCTGTCCAAAGCCTTAAAAATATACTGTTGCCTACCTTCAGCTGAGAGTTCTGATGTGCAGTATGGTGGACCCCGAGCAACCACTTCTTGTAGGATGATTGCAAAGCTGTAAATGTCCCCTTTGAATGTGCCTTTTCTGCGCATGTCTGGGTCCCTCAGTAACTCAGGAGCTGTCCAGAGCAATTCTAAAACATTCCAGAACATCACATTTCTTACACTTGAGCTCAGACTCTTGCAAAGTAAGTGCTTAAGGGAATACCTTATTTCAGTCATTTGAGGAAAGGTTGGAAAGTCCTTCATTATTTACTGGACCAAATCTTTTACTTCTTGTGATGTATCAGAAATATTAAACTTCCATCCTGACAAAAAAATTGAATTGGCCAGATTCACTCTACATTTAAAAAAAAAGGTTCAGTACCAACAAATTTTATCACATAACACCAGCCTTGAACTTCAGCGTAAGAAGTCATCTCACCGTTGCCAAAAGGTTTAAATATTTTTTTTTTTATTTAAAATATCCTTGAGACAAAATGTTGGCACTGAAGCCTGGATTTCTTGTTATTGTTGTTGCTCTTTTAAAAAGCAAACAATTAATACCATTATTTATGTAGCAATTCTTAGATGAAAGTAGTTTCTGCAAAAGCAGTTCATGACAATCTGAAGCACAATCAGTCTTTGTAATCCAATAGTTCAAGCGATGAAAAACACAGCTGTAAAACATATCCAGCCTCATCAAGAAATGAATCTTGAAACTGTGCTATTGTTACCCTGGTAACCGTGCATTCTGAATAATGGGAATAATGAACATTTCAACTACTCCAAAATGTTTAACTTCTATAAGGGAGGAGAAGGTCTTCTATCTGGTAACTGCCCTGCCTGAGACACTGGAAATGCAAAGGCATCAAATCCCACAACAGAAGGATCAAAACACTACCTACTACTTGAAACCATATTTCAAGAATAAATTGAGATATCAGAGGAATCCCAAAACAAGGGGCATGTCAAAGAAATCCTGTCAAAGTCTCCAGACCTGGTCCCATGAGATGTTCTTCCTAAGTGGTGGGAATCTCATGAGACAGCCTCATGGCATGTAGAGGACCTATTTCAAAGACATCTGCATCATTTTGTGTTTCAGACAGCTTCTTTTAACAAAAAGGCTATTTGCATGTGGGTTAGTGTAAAACTTCAAATATAGGACTGGGTCTAAGCATGTGAAGCCAATTCTATTGGTCACAGAAATTCAGTACTGAGAAGATTTCAGGGACAGTTAAATCCTTCTCCAATTGCAAAAAGCTTACATTCTGTCACAACTTACAGTAAAATCTATTTTCCTTACAATGACACTCTGTTATTCATGTTTAGGAAGTCTGAAAAAAACTTAGCTTATCCTTTCGTATAACAATGACATACAGGAAACAAGATGTCATGAGATTGAGCATGTAAATCCTTATGTGGCCACTGGCCTGAAATTGTATTAGGACAAACATTTCTTAAATCAGTGGAAAAACATTTCCAAAAAGAATATTTCCTCATGTCACCTACCTTCTGGGGATGGCTGAATATAGGGGCATTTCTGTGCTTCTAAGAGCTCGTTATAACCATAATCGGTGATCTTCAGCACAAACCGGCCATCCACAACACAGTTACGAGACTTGAGACGTCCATGGGCAAAATCTCTGTGATGCAAATATCTAATTCCCTATGAAACACAGAAAAAACCCAAGGCTATTCCTTAGGATTTATATTATTAATCAGCATTCAGAGACACCAAGCCAAATTGTCACCTTAGATGGCATCAGATACAGCATTGACTTTATGTCAGATGCAGTCATGATCAAACCAATAAACTATGGGGGAGGTTCAGAAATGGATTAGGAACATGAACTAGATTGTCTGCACCCTCAAGTAATATTGGAAAGGTCTGACAGCTTTAGGAACAGTCAGATGCCTCCCTCTGTAGCCCTAGGACTCGGTGCACTCGTAAGTTTCATTTTTAGGCAAGGGTAAGAAAGCAGGCACAAGTAGTACTCAATGGTTAGGTCAAAGGAAGCCATAAAGAGCTGGATGCCCTTATCCAGCTCCCTGCAGGAGGTTCAGAAGGTGGATCACAGGCTGCAAGAATAGTTCTGGCAGTCTACCCTCTGAACACTGCGTGTTCCAGATTAGTAGTTTATCATTATGGGATGAAAACACATGGGACATGATTGGAAGGATGTGAACACTCTACTAAAGTGACCATATGTGCAGACATCCTGTGGCAGGGGATGGACACTGTTTGGATCTATGGTGGATGCATTTCTGATTTACAATAAGATAGGGCCTTCGAAAAGTATGAATTTGTCACAAAATTCTTTGTTCTAGGTGATCAGTTGCAGCCTGATGTATAGTTTTAACCTCTTATCCTGCTGTGTGGCTGTAGTCCTGTTACCCTAAATAGTTGACTTCTCTCAGATAGTAACAAATTAAGGGTAAGAGTTCTCCATTAAAGATGCTGTGTATCGGTATAATTACATTCACATTGGTTTTCCCTGCATTACTATAAAAATCCCAAAGTTCCGGATCAAATAACTCAGTCAATATAAAAGTCACATGCAGATCATGCCTCAGCAGGAGTAATGGACTTACTTTAATTAGATCCATCACAAGAGAGGACTTGAACATCCAGTCCAGTTTCATATCTTCATTTCTCAGCAAGTCCTCCAGGCTTCCTCGGGAGCAGTACTCTGTCACTATGGCAAAGATGCCACAGTCAGAGAAAAAGCCCAGGAACAGATTCACATTTTCATGACGCAGATCTTTCATCTGAAACAAGACAGTGAATCACAGCTAGTCCAAGTCAGCCAGACATCTACTTAGCAGCTTCTTGATATCGTTAGATGTCCTTATCACTCTTGTACTCCCAAACAGCCTTACATACAAGGATGGGGAAGCAAACAACCTTTTTGATGGTTATTTTTGGCTACTCAGTGCTCTTTTCAAGCTTTGCTTTCCTTTTTCTATCCATTAAGACAAAGCAAGAAAGATAGCAAAAGCAAACTGAACAGAAATTTGTCTTCTCTTTAGACAGGCCAGATCGAATCTTTCAATAGGCCAAAATGGCTTTGCTGGGGTAGATTGAGTTCAGCTTGTGGCATCTTGCTGTGGGTCTGGTCTGATTTGGAAAGCAACTCCATACTTGAGGGTCCAAAGTTATCTGTCAACACTGCCTTTGGAGATATGACCTGGTAAATTTGTTGTATTTATATGCATTAAAATGCCACTGCTATGTTAGCGATAGCTGTCAAAAACTAATGGCCTTGGATTTGGAAAATAAGTATATTTTCTTGTCATTTGGTAACAATAATAAAATTTAAGACTAAAAGTCAACTTCTAACAGGCATCTTAGATGGAGACACAAAGCAAATACCAGAGAAATGCAAAACTGTCTCTGTGTCACACTGTCAACATATAATACATGAAAGTGTCTACCAGTGCCTCACACTGAGTAGGGATGAGCTCCCCCAAACCACTCTGCCTTTGCAGGCAAGGTCATTTGGAGGATTCATTGTACATTTAGCATTGTACCAGCTTTGAAGTGGCAGGTCCTGGGTGAGGTTTTACAAACTGCTGACTCTGACATATTGATCATTGGTAAGTTTGTCAGATGCAGTCATGCATGGTCCATTCTACCAGATTGGACAAGACTCATTGACAACCATGATGTGTGATTCAATGGATAAACAGGAGAATAAGAACACCCTGAAGCTGCAAAAGTCCCCCCAAAGAAACCTTCCCTCCACACATCTCTTTATCTCCTGTTCCTACCTTCCTTAAGATGCTGGTGGAGCTTTGCCGCAGATTGTGAATCACTCCCGTCTCAAATTTTTTCAGCCACACCCAGTCTCCCTGTCCATAATCACAGAATCACAGAATGGGTAAGGGTGGAATAAACACTGATGGATCATCTACCTCTGTGTTCAAGCAGGGTCATCCTAGATCACATGGCACAGGATTTTGTCCAGACAGTTCTCAAATATCTCCAGTGAGGGAGACTCCACAATCTCTCTGGACAACCTGCCCCAGTGCACAGTAATTCACAGAGTAAAGAAGTTCATGTTCAGATGGACCTTCCTGTGCATCAGTTTTTGCCTGTTGCTTCTTGTCCTATTGTTTGGCACCACCAAGAAGAGCCTGGCTTCATCCTCTTGGCACCCTCCCTTGACATATTTGTACACACTGATGAAGTCCCCTCTCTGTTGTCGTTTCTCAAGGCTGAACAGGCTCAATTCCCTCAGCCTTTCCTCATAAGAGAGATGCTCCAGTCCCCTAATCACAGTACAGGTGGATGAATGATAGAGCAAGTCTCTGAGCAACAGCTAACATTGGGACCCAGGTGTGAATTCCAGATCCTTCACTTTCAAAGTGGTTGAGGATTTTTTAAGTTCTTGGCAGTAGATTATTTCTACACTGCACCTGAATAAGAATATCCACACAAATCCTCAAGAAAGGGGTGAGGCAGAGCTTTCACCCGGTTCAGAACTTCATGCCTGGAAGGTGTATTAGTATCTGATAAACAATGATAAATTGATTAAAAAGGAAAGCAGCTCTGGCCAGATCTTTTTTCTGTCATTAATGATAGATGCAGTTTATTTTCCTCCTCTTCAGGTAAAGTTACCGTGCCATTTTTTCAAAAAGCTGTATTTTCAGGTAAGAACTGATGGACGGAGTGAAAATTCTTGGCCATTGCTTCTGCTTAAGCTCCATATAGACCTAGTGGTACAAAGGGGAATTTGAGAGCCTTTATTTGTGTATTTGGATGCTGTCTTGTCAGAAAGTTCTTTATTAGAGATGTTACCAGCTAAAGACGGTCTTGTAAGAAAGGTTCTTCATGGTGCCTTTAGATGGTGACTTCTCTAACAGGGACCAGACCTGACAATGCTACATATGGATGTTGAATATCACCATCCCACACGACTCCAAGTGTCAGGATGAGGATTGGGGTAGAGTATTCCAACCTTTACTTACCTTAATCACTGGTAAGTCCATGCTTGGGAATAACTTATTTTCATGCTTAGAGTCTGTTCACAGAATTCCCATTCTGGGACCTACAGTACTGTAACCCAAGATTTTCCCACTAGAGCAGTTCAGTGAACAGAAGCAGTGGGAGAAGGCTGCATGAGGTCTCTACCTACCTCATACAAAGCCACATTGGAGGTTTCGTGGGTGGCAACTGTGCTTTTCAAGGAAGAGGAGCGGGTTACAGATTTCAGGCTTCTGCAGTTGACTGCTATGCTGTTTGCATCAGCCAGACTGTCCAAGGTCAGCCTCTGGAAGGCAAGGAAAGCAGGTGCAAGACAGCTACCACCTTTGGATATAGACTTCCACTCCAGCTCTGTCTTGGACCACAGATTTCTTGATAAGTAAATCATGGGATCATCCCCCAGGAGGTCCCCAGCTCTGGGTAGGAGCCAGCACAGACCAGAAACATTTTCCAATAGGTTTGAATGCAGACACTTTATTGTAGAGGATAAGATGATTTATCTATATGGACATGCACTATAGTACACCATCCAACTTCAAGAACAAAGAATAAGCCCTGGTAGTTAGAATAAACACAATCAAGGATACTGTTTTACATCATCGTAAAAGCTCTGACATCTAATCTGAGACTCAAAACCACCCAACATAAGGAAATTTTCTGATATGCAGGGAAAAATGACATGGAGAAGTGAATACCTTCACAGAGCTTCATGGGTATGAAAATACCACACAGCAAACTTGTTTTAGCGTTCCACCAGATTACTTTCACAAGTAGAAGACTTACCTTCCTATGTAACTCTGGGTTGATGAAGATGAGGTCATCCAAGGTCACTATTATCTTGTTCGGACCCTTGAAAAGCTGATTGTTCAAGATACTCTGCCTGAAAGGTTTGGAGAATCAAGGTTATCATTTTTAGGTAGGCAACCAGTTTGCACCACCTCTGAATTCCCCACATCTGGCTTCCCTGTAGTATTAGACCCTGCCTCCAGTACTGCTTCCAGCTCTGGGGACTCCAACATAAGAAGGTTGTGGACCTGCCAGAGCAGGTTCAGAGAAGGCCACAGATGCTCAGAGGGCTGGAGCACCTTTCCTGTGGTGACAGGCTGAGAGAGTTGCAGTTGCTCAGCCTGGAGAAGAGAAGGCTCCAGGGAAACCTTAGAGCCCCTTCCAGTGCTGAAAGGGGATACAAGAGAGCTGGAGAGGAATTTTGGACAAGGTCATGGAGTGACAGGACAAGGGGAAATGGCTTCAAACTGAAAAAGGGTAGATTTAGATTAGAAATTAGGAAGAAATTATTCACTGTGAAGGTGCAGAGGCACTGGCACAGATTGCCCAGAGAAGCTGTGGGAGCACCATCCCTAGAAATGTTCAAAGCCAAGCTGGATGGGGCTTTGAGCAACCTGGTCTAGTGGAAGGTGTCCTTGCCCATAGCAGAGGGGTTGGAACTACATGGTCTTTAAGGTACCACACCACATGGTGTGGCAATGGGGTTGGATACTGGTGAAACCAGGGGACAAATCACAATGCCTTTTCTTGGACTGAAATCCCCTGAGTCAAGAGTTATCCATTTTACAGACTACAAAAGATACCACCTAAAAGGGTGTGATCACAAACAGACAACTTGATTTAATCTGGTTACAAATATTAATTGGATGTGTGTGTAATTCATGTTTAGTTCTGCTCAGTTTTATTTGTCATATCCCAAATCATTCTCCATTAGGACACAAAAACAGGTTTTATTAGTCCAACTGGCCTGGCTGGTGAGCAAACCACTCTCAGACACACCAGCCTTTCTTAGGAACCGATGCTGAATTGTGGGTAATTTATAAAAGCTGTCTGGACACAAGTTACTGTTGAAATATGCTGTCTGAGTATCCAGATTGTAGTATTGTGTTGTATGAAGCACAGAGGAAGATATGCTCTTGTAATGATCACAAGCTTACACAGAGGGAAAAGCTACATGGGATGAGCAGTATGGCACATGTGACATCACACCTCATCATTTTAAACCCACTGTTTCAATGGACATCAAGGTCTAACACTGAGCACAAAGCAGACTATATCTATTAGACAGTCAAAAGCTCTCCAAGCAGGAGCAGAGAAGGGAAGGAAATGCTCCCCTATCGCCCTCAGTGTCACTTTCTTGTTTAAGGAACTTTGTTAACACTAAAGCATATGTCAGCTCTGCACTCTCCTAAGACTTTTCTGACACTGAGATTAGCTCAGTTGTCTAGAGCATGGTGTTAATAATGCCAAGATTGTGGGTTCAATCCCCACCTGGCCATTCAAGTGAGAGTTGGATTCTATGATCCTTGTGGGTCCCTTTCAACTCAGAATATACTCTGGTATTGACTATTCTGTGATATTGATAAGATGGACCATAGAATGTCTTTTGCTAACTCTACTATAGAAGAACTCCATTCCATAAAATACCCCCGCATCACCACAATTCATTTTTCCACTCCATGTACCATTTTGGGCATTTTAGAAGAGCACAGAGAGTTTCCTGGAGCTCAGAGGGAGCCTTATCCGTGTAACCACAGACTTTACCTGGGACGATGTTTTTATAATCTTTCTCTAACCATACTGTCCCAAGCCACCCAACTCATATTCATGCAAAAAACTCATAACTTATGTATCTTACACTGGTCCACCTGAAAAACCTTGCTTGATCAATCACATCCTTTCCCACAAGCACGGAGGAAAGCATCCCTCTGCCAAAAGCTAAGCATAGAGAGTAGACTGACTCATTGGAGGTCATGCAGCAGATCCCTGGCAGAGCTAGGACCAGAGCTTTCACATTTAAACACAGACTATGCTGTGGTTTAAATTTAGTTCCAGACATGCCCTTTCCTAATAAAAATTATTATCTGAGTCATGCTGGACTTTTTTCTTGCCATGCAGATGGCCATACATCTTTACTCATGACTGAGCCTTCCCAATCATGGTACTTGTGGAAGAACTTACAAATAGAGTAGGCAGAAAGATTGTCTTCTGTTTACTTAAGTGTAGAGGCTGGTAGCCAGGGAATAGAGCTGGGTTTCAAAGTGTGGGTGGATGGAGGCAACCTCCTCAGTGCCTGCAATGCTATCAGAAGCAGCTGTGTGCTTGAAGTGGGGGAGCTGTTTGGGGTGTTGCTTACTGGGTGGCCTTGTATCATGTGGGTTCAGAGGGATGATTCAGGACTGAAGAGAAAACATATTTGGGAATTATTTGAGAAGCAAGGCTGGATGGAACAACCTAGGAACCCTGCTTTGCTGAACTCATTGCTGCTGAATAAATGCCTTCTACTTTCAGTCTATTTTCATTTTTATTTCAGTTGTGTAGACACCAATAATCAGAGATAGACTATTCCAGGGGCCCCAGTGTCCTTGCCAAACATCAATTCATAGCTTCTGAACTAAGCACTCCATTCTGGCTGATTTCTACCCTGGGTATAGAGTGGGACGCACACACACACTTGGGACACAAGTGTGACCTATGCAATTATTGGAAACGGTTCCTTCCCCAGACGACTACTGCATTTGCTCCAAAGGTCCTATCCCCAGACCAATATTTATACAATGGGAATGATTAGGGATCTGAACTCCAGTTCAAAACAGAGAATGAATCAGCTTGATAATAAAGAGGCATCCTAAACAATTGGACTAAACCCTCTCTAGAGGTATTTTCTTTCTCTTTAGTACATGGAGAAAATACAGAGGGTCAGCCTTGCATAGGAAACAGGATTATATCGGGGAAGAGTGATCTGGAGTAAGAAAAAGAGTTGGCCTCCACCCCCATGTTCTCATAGCAGATTCCTGTCTTTGGTTCATATGCCATCCTTTGAATTTCCAAAGTGATAATCATCCTGATGCTTCAGACCCATCATCCAGCTAATCCTTACAGCAACAGACTGCAATCTTCTACCAAGCCAGGACTGCGTTAAGAGTAAAATGGCTGCTCCTGAGACTGCAGAACCAATGCCTGCAGTACTCAAGCCACTGTCACCTAGTAAAGTTGTATTTGGTTTGCATGGCAAGGTTTTGGTAGTTGGGGGTTATAGGGTGGCTTCTGTGAGAAGCTGCTAGAACCTTTCCCTTTGTAAGGAGGGGATTCTCCTTGATGGAACCAATGCCAGCTGGCTTCAACACGGACTTGCTGGTGGTCAAGGCCATCAGCAACAGCGGTAGCACCTCTGAGATAAGATATTTAAGAAGGAAAAAAACAACTGGGCAACTCAGCCAGAGTGGAGTGAGAATATGTGAGAGAAGTAGCCCTGCAGAAACCAAGATCAAGGAGGAAGGAGGGGGAGGAGGTGCTCCAGGTGACGGAGCAGAGATTCCCCTGCAAGCCTGTGGTGATGACTTGAGTGAGACAGGTTGTATTCCTGCAGTTCATGGAGGTTTTCAGTGGAGCAGAGATCCATTTGCAATCCATGAGCAAGAGGATGCCCAAATAAGTCTGTGACCCCTTGGGAAGCTTGCAGTGGAGCAGACTCCTGGCAGTACCTTAGACCCATGGAAAGAGGAGCACATGGTGGAGCAGGTTTGCTGGCTGCACTTGTGACCCCGTGGGGGACCTATGCTGGAGCAGCCTGTTCCTGAAGGACTGCACCCTGAAGGACTGCTGGAAGAGTTAATGGAGAACTGTGGCCTATGGAAAGAACTCCTATTGTATATATTCACAGAGGACTGTCTCCTGTGGATGGTATCCCACGATGGAGCAGGGGAAGGGTGTGAGGAGTTCTTCCCTTGAGGAGGAAGGAGCAGCAGAGATAACGTGTGAAAAACTGACCACAGTCCCCATTACCTGGCTGCTGTGCCACTGGTGGGGAAAAAGTATAGAATTTAGGAGCAAAGTGAAGCCTTGAGAAGAAGGGAGAGGTGGAGAGAAGCTGATTTTAAGATTTGATTTTATTTCTCATTATCCTACTCTGATTCAACTGCTAATAAATTTAGTTTCCCCAAGTCAACTCCATTTTGACCATTGTGGTAATTGGTGAATGATCTCTCCCTGCCCTTATCTTGACTATGAGTCTTTCGTTATATTTTCTCTTCCCTGTCCAGCTGAAGAAGGGAGTGATAGAGTGGATTTGGTGGATGCCTCCCATGTAGCCAGGGTCAATCCACTACAAATATGAAGAGATTTGTGGCTAGAGAGCAGAGAGCACAATCACACCTGCTTTGTGTGCACGGTCTAAACTGCTGGTTAAAGCATGAGACCCCCCCAGAAGTTAAAAATGGCACCAACTCAAATATGTGCTGCAAACCTCACCTGATGAGAGAAGCCAGGCCCACAGCACACACCACCAGGGCAAATATCAGCATTACTCCCAATGTAATTACTTCAGTCTCAATCCCTGTGCAAAGGGGAGAAAAGAATCAGTGAATTAGAAAATCATTTTGATTTAGGTAGTAATATTAAAAACATCAATATCAGACCCTTAGATTACAAAGCCAAATATTCAGCCAGGAGAATACCAAAAGAAAATTTTTATGCAATGTTAACTTGTGAATACACAAGTACTTACTGACTTTGTTTACACAAGACTGCAACTGCTCTAATTATTTATTTCCATGCACTTTTTTTCCCTAAACCAGACTTAGAGCCTTGGATCAGTGGAAAAATAGTTTTTCTTCAAGTAAATAAAGACTAGACTCACAGGAAAGTATTAAGTTTTAGAGAAAGTTTCTGCAAAGTTCATAACTTTTTAACATTTGACCCTTTTCACTCCAGGAACTGAAATGCTGAAAAATCTTTATCTTGTGGTACCAAACTTATGGCCACTGTGAGTTACTGGCCCATCTGGGATTTTTCATTCTCTGCTACAGATTTCTAATGCTGAAAAGAGCAGAAGAGGAGGAGCAGAATGTTGATGTTCTCCTCAACATTCCATGGACAGAAAGTACTGGAGACAGATACTTTGCTCATGAGTGTGTTTACTGGAGAGCTAAGGGAAGCCAACATGAGTGAATGAGCTGAATTCCAGGGGGAGTTGTTTGCTGTGTCTACCTTTTCTGTCTTCTGATTTTTCTATTTTATTCTATTTGTATTCAGAGATCTATAAATGCAAACAAACATGGAGAAATTTGGGTTAATAAAAGGTTCATGACTTTATGTCACACTTGCACCTAAGTCACAGCCCTATCTGCAACCTCTGAAACCTAGACCTTCCCAGTGAAAACTGAAGACATTTTTGAAAAGTGGTGTCCATTTCAGAAAAGACAGAGTATTTTAGGTGAAATTTTCCCGGTTCAGCCTAGATCCCCAGCCTCTAATTGTCCTTACACATATGCAGGAACAGGTTGCCCATAGAAACTGTGGATGCCCCATCTGTGGAAGTGTTCAAGATCAGGCTCAGTGGGGCTTTGTGCAACCTGGTCTAGTGTGGGGTTGGACTAGATGACCTTGAAAGGTCCCTCCCAATCCAAACTATTTTATGATTCTAGTGAAAGATGTTCCTCTCCATAAAAGGTGAGGTTGGACTTGGTAATATTTGAAGATCTTTTCCAACACAAACTGTTCTGTGATTCTATGATGTTATGATTCTGTAAAAGAAGCCACTCTGTTTTCATGCTCCAGCCTGGATCTAGCCCTGGATACCTTCATCTGTATCCGTGCAAGGAGAAAGAAGGATTGGATCCACTTAGAGGCAGATTTGCAGGAAACCCAGTGCTCTGGGTTGTGGTCACCTGCTAAGAAACTTATTTTTAAAGAGAGAATGAGCTTTGAATAGCCCAGCCACAGTGCTATGAGTTGGTTTTCTTGCTGGACAAAGCAGGGGATGCCTCCTGGACAAACCAGTGATGAAGGTATGAAAGTCCCATCTCACATCCCTTCATGGCCTTCTAACATTTTCAGAGAGAATCTGTAACCCAGACCACAGTGTGGTAGGAATAATTTGGAGTTTGGTAATGCTCTCTTCTGTATTTAATCAGGGTTTTTTACTGGTCCTGTCTCCTAAACTTCCTTAGGTAGCCCCCAGAGACTACTCTCTGAACAAGTCTCCTTTGAGAAAGACTCCCAGAGAAGTTCTTTTGTTTGTTATCATTGCCTAGAATAACCTACAAGTGCTTGACCATTCTTTAGAGGACCCTTATGCAATGTGGTACTTGAAATGCAGTGCAGAAAATCAAGGAGTACCAAAGGGTCTCTCCCTGATCGTGTCCCTTGCTGAAGTAGGGGAACAGTTTTACATCATTACAGATGTGAAGACACTTAATCAACTAAAAAACATCCAAAGTCCATCTAATTTTATTCACTGAAACAGGATTTGATGAGAATGAGAGCTAGTCAGAGCACAACATTCACTGCAGTGAACCATACACTGAAAGGACAAGAAAAGTAAAAAATAAACAGCCAGATAAACAAACCCTGAGGAATGAGAGATAGCAAAGGCACTACTGAACACCAGAGAGTTCATGTCAGTGATGAAGGGGCATTGCAGGGACCATGCAAACCCTGAGGAAGCTCAAACAGATCTTTATAACTAACTAGAAGTGAAAACAAGGTTATCGTGAGCTCATGGGAAACAGCAAACTTACGGCATACTTGAGGGAACTTGTGGAATTGTGTTAAAGTCATTAGGGAATACTTTAAGGGAACTGTGGGACTATGTGAAACTTCTTATGGGATCTTTAGATGGAAGGGTAAAAATAGGGAAAGGAACAGATAGCATGAGCTGGGGATGGTCAAGTATGGGAGAGGATGGGGATGCTGGTTACACGTAATCATGTTGTGCCTTTTTTCCAGCCAAACCTTGCACCTGATCATCACAATCTCTCCTACCTTCTTCTTAACCCCTATTGCTTCTTTTTTTTTCTGGGTGAGTGTGCTGTCTGACTGCGCGTGATGTTTACAGACTTCACACTGATCAAACAACAGGTAAGATGAGTCCTGGAGCCTGCAATCCATGAGAAACCACTAGTCTGAAGTCACCTTCTGCAGAGATCAAACGGTTTGAGAGGGAATTTAGGCTGGGACCATCTACCAGAGGGTGCGTTTGTAAGTCTGCAGGAACTGGGGCTGTGAGATCCAGTAGCAAGCTTGGAGCCTAATTATGTGGTGCATGAGAACAGGATGGGGCCATTTATGTTGTCCGTGTCTCAGCAATCCTGGTTGTAGGTGTGGTGCCTCTGAAAACACTGCTCTCTTATATCTGTTACTCTTAACAGTGACTGGTTATCTCTGCAGTGTGTATGTGTGTGTGTGTGTGTGTATGTCCACATACTGGGAACAGCAACACAGCCCCACTCCTGGTGAACCTGGAACTAGGAACCACAGCAGCCTGACAACTTCACATCAAATCCCCCTCCAACCCTAACTTCAAAAGTCAGAGTGAGTCCTGGATTTAATTTTAGTCATAAAATTCAGTCTCTGAAATATTAGTAATAATAATAAAGTACTCTTTCACTGAAAAATGCCTAGAGCTTTATACTTTTGTAAAGGTGTCAACATGAAATCTGATCTCCCTGAAAATCAGTGGGATTTTTCTATAGACTGGAAGGGGATTCTAAATTGCTACATGGTTCCTAGTAGCAGTGCAAAATTAGATCTATCATGGTATTATATTTATCTCTTCTATAGCTTGCCAGCTGCTGTAAGATCAGTGTATCTCCAATTTTCATAGAGTGACACTGATTTAAACCAGCTATGGCTGAGCCAAAGGGAATGTTTTTCTCAGCTACTGAATGAAGTATTCCGTAGATGTGGTTAATTTTGTCTGTTTCAGTCATATCCTGGAGCAGTAGGTGTAAATGCTTAATATTATAAGTAAATATGTCAAGAGGAGGCTAAGTATCCTACCCTGAGATTTTGGCTTCCCTGTGACTTTAAAACTGCAACACAGTTGCCTCAAATTAAAAACAATAAGTAAAAACAGTGCCAAATCTTACCAACCTGGGAAGCAGAACAAATATCTTGACCCCTAAGCCTTAGTTTACTATCTCTGTTGTCTACAGTGACTCAGACTATTTTGAGTAATAATTGTAATTTTTTCTTGAAGAGGTGAGCTCTGATGTCCTTAATGCCACAACTGGATAAAAAAGCTGGGTTAACAGGAGAGGTGGTGAAAGCATCTGCTGTTGAGCAGCTCTCTAAGGCTGTCTTCCAGGCAAATCCTCTTAGTGCCCTATCCCTCAGAAGGACAGGGACATAGTGCTTGGTGGAGCCTCTGGTATATAATGGTTATTATTAAAACAGGCAGATGTTGACTGTTAGACCCAGAAAACCCCTTCAAGCACACCACAACAGTGGAGTGGCAACAACCTTATTGGCTCAGGGAAGTGATGGGATTAATGTCCCTGGAACTGCTCAAAAAATGTGTAGATGTGGTGTTTAGGGATATGGTAGTGGTGGCCTTGGAAGTAATAGATTAATGGTTGGACTCAATGCTCTCAAAGGTCTTTTCCAACTCTAATGATTCCATGATTCTATGACCTAACAAGCAATAAAAGAGTCTTTTGGATCAGCGGTGGTATCTCTGCGTATGATTCCCATTATGAACAGGATGATGACTGGACATCTTTATATTAATTTCTTGAATTTAGACTTTTCTTGTTGGAGAGTTCTAATTTAAAGGGGTAACCACCTGGAGTGAGAGGAAAGATGAAAGAAATGACACTCAATGACATTTGACACTTTTGGGTTTTTTTCCCCCTTACCTTCAGTGCAGAGAACATCTGGATCAAACCAACAGCTGGAGTCTGGCTTGGGTGGAACTTCGTTGGGAAAGTGGATGGCCTGGCCTAGGGACAACACGGAGTCTGAAGACATGTCCAGCATGTGGGTTGGGAAAAGCTGGTTCCCATGACCATCTGTGTCCAGTATCACATAGTTGCTGAGCCCCTTCCCACAGCTGTCTGTCTCTACCTGGTGAGTAAATCCAGGGAAACTGAAGTTTTTTGTGTGTTCAGCTATGTTAGCTCCGGAGGCTCTGCCTCCTTTCTTCCGGGTACTGTCTATAGCCATTGCCATGAAGTAAATAGCATCATAGATTGTTCCAAAGAGTGGAGAAACCTAAAAATACATGGAGAAATTGAGGTCAGGATAGACTGCTCCCAACTTCCAGTCTGAGGTTTGTGACGAAATATTGTCCCACTGGCTAAGCTGTAAAGTCAAGTACTGAGACAGCTGAGCGTTAAGGCTCTGAGAGTAAAGGGTTTGAAGAATCTCAGGTCGAAGGTAGCTCTGGATAGACTCAATATATGCATGACTTTGAACACCTGTCTTTTCCTACCGTTGCTTCCCAAAATACAATTTCAAAATATTTTTAAAACCATGCAAAATTGCTTTAGGATGGTAAAAGCCTGGACTCTGAGCCTGATGTTCACCTGAAATTTATCACAACCTGCCTCAAAACACTACGCTAAACATCTTCTACAAATAGAAGTTCAAAGTCACAGGCTCGCCTCCCTCCCTACCAAGACAGGAAAAGTGTCATTGCCTAAATAATTGGTCTTCTCTGTCAGAAAATTACTTATTCCTAAAATATTAAAATCCCAAAGCAGAGCCATGGCAAACTTGTTTTGTTGGGTAACAGAGCCTTTTCTCTTTGCATTGCTCCCTTCCATGACAGACTTGATTTAGGAACCTTTAACAAAAATGGTGACTTTTGAAATCATGTGGACATTCACAACTGGTAGGTGAAGAGGGATTAGAGGCAAATACCTGTGAAAAAAAATGAAGAGTGCCATTGGGAGCCACAGAATTTGACATTTGTGGAGGGATTTGTTGCTCAGATGTAGATATCTACAATGAAGAACCCGACACTCCATATAGTTAACCTGGGCTCTCATTATATTGAAGGGAAAGAAATGAATGCTTTCAAGGCATGATTCATCTCCTTTTAAAGTAGACATCCATAAATCATGCCTTAAAAGTACTTGTAATTTTTTCAAAGGTCATAGGGAGATTTGAGATCAGCTCAGCTGAATCCTGCATCTCTTCACCAGTGTGAGATTCCCCAGTTCTTCTTGTAAATGTCTACAAGGTAGCAACTGATTTAGTTTTTAATAGGCTACTGGTGACATTTAGATAACTGAGCTGACAAACAGTAACTTTAACTATAGTGCTAAGAAGAACAAGGCAGCAAGATCTTAAACATTTCCCTCTTAAACATCTTAAACATCCAGTATTTCATTAGTCTGTCTCATCCCCTCAAGTTTTCAGGCATATGGACATCTTATTTTGGTTCCTTACAAACTCCATGGACTTTTTCCAATTTAGGAGACACCTTTTCAACTTGAATCTACTGCAGTTAGCACACAGCAAAACAAATCTGAGAAGCTCAGAGACAACCTCTTTCTCTTGAATTCCCAGCATGGTCCTGCAAATTGAACCGAGTTATATTGCCAGACATCCAGGAGAAATGATCTTTCCAAATGAATGCAGACCATACTCAAATTTCACCATATTTTTCTCAAAACGAAAGCATGTAGTCTGGGTTGATTCTCCCCTGTGCTTTCTCTATAACTATTGCTTCTATCTATAACACTGCTGCTTCCTTTGAGAACACACGCAGGATCACTCTCAAGGAGAAAAGACAACGCAGAAAGAATCGTGTCTTGCCAATACCACCTCAGGAGCCCTTCTGCTGTGCCTTTTGCAACTGGACATGCCTGTCTCGTATTGGCTTTTTTAGCCACCAACGTGCCTGTAACAAATGTGGGTAGAGCCCTTCCCAAATCTTTGTTCGCGAAGTCCAGCCATGATTGCTTGTCTCATGTCTCTTGTTGACAGGTCCCAGAAAAGCCCAAGAGAAAGAATATTTACCTGTGTGGCTTCCAAATCCCTGGTTATTTCACCACTTTCTTTAGCTTCGCTGAATGCTTCATAGAAAGTCCTTTCTCCAGACTCCAGTGTGATAGTCAGCACAGCATCATATGCTTCTTGGAGCTTGCTGTCATTATCAAAGACATTGAATGAGTTGTTTTGGTAAGGAAGACTGTACAGTAAAGTGTCATATGGAACAAAGATGTATCTTCCATCTGCTAGTCCCATTTCCAGAGCTTTTGTAAGTAAGGTGGCCTGTTCCTCCCCTCCGATGAGAACAGAATGCATGCACAGGACTATAACTGGAACACAAGGACAGCAGAGAGTGTTGTTAATCTATGTGGGGTTTTCAACACAAAATAGCTCCCTCCCCTCCCAATAAAAGAGCTGTCTGAACTACTCTACTCCTGACTGCTACAGGTCAGATTCCTATGTTACGTTCAAGGAAGTTGGGAGTTACACCTGTTTTGTTCAGCCTTTGGACGTCTGCAATATCTAGTAAAGAAGGTTGTGAGTAGTACATATTTCTGGAACTGTAAAGAAGAAAGAATGGAGAGAAATTCTGACAGAAGTGAGGCATGGGTTAACATGATGGGTAGTTATGGTCACTGTCGTCACTGACCATGAGACTTGAGCTTTCCCTCTGTGTGCCCTAAGCTGACAGACACCACACCGTTGCAAGCAATGTCCAACCTCCACCCATTCACCCTGTCACCAAATATACAGATTTTAGCTTGGACACTGTGTTGTGTTTAAACATCTGGTTCATGCTTGACTGTCCCAAAGTCTGTGTCTTTGCCCGCAAAATGCCATGGAACCAATGTCCCCATGTCTGGTGGGAGAATTGAAATACAGGTGTATCTGTTTAACAGGCTTTTCTGGGTGCTCACTGGCCCTTCAGGAAAGGAATCACTCCTGATATTTGATCAAAGATAGCATCTCAAGACTAAGTCAATGAGAGAAGAAAAATAGGTCAATGATGTAAAGGGAAGTTGCAAAGGAGACCTGATGGCTACTAAACCAGGAGAGAGCAGGATCCCTAGAGTAGCTGTGCTCTCTTCTTAGGAGAAAAAGTATCCTTGGAAAAGTAGAAGCTAAAACGAAAAAGAGTATTTCCAGGTTTCTGAATCACAGGAAAGAAACCTGTACTTATTGACAGTGGTTCATCCCATACTGTAGCAGAGAACTTAAGTTGGTCAAATGAATGATATTTGAAAAGGGACTGGTTCTCTCCATCTATTATGAAAGGAGCCCATCATCTGTAACTCGCATGGAGAGCTGTGTTGCTGAGGAGATGAACTCAAGGTGGATTTGGTCTCAAGCACAGATTTGAGTACTGATAAAACTTGAAGTTAGACAGCGTTTTGCTACCCTTGTTATTCTTTGGTGTAAAATCCAAAGTCAGCTAAAATGCATCCTCACTGGAGTCCCAATGATGACTGCAGAGGTGTACATCCAGGATCAGAGCTCCATCACAGATTTCCTAATGAGACTCTGAACCAGAAAACCAGGACATTTCCCCCCACCCATTTTCTCAAGAGAAAGAAGATCGTTCTTTACCACAAGCTGTGCATGAAAAAGAGTCCTTCCTCTGCTTTAGTAGACTGTTGTGTAACACTGAATTTCCATTCTGATATCTTCACTGAACACAGGTGGTAAAGACACAGTGTCAAAGGGTGAGATTTTTGATAATCCAGAATACAAATCATTATTAATATAAAACCTTCCTATAAACTACTCTTTACACAAGTCAAGTACAGACAATCCTCTACTAAATATCATTTTTTTCAGGTAAGCTGGAACTAATCTTTCTTGTTGTAGGAGACTGTTTTGCTCTATCTTCATCAAACATAAAATGTCCAGCACTCTTGTATGTGAAGACCTGGTTCCATTAAGGTTAGAGGTAAAGTTCTTGATTTAAACCACTTTAAATTTTCCATTCTCTAAACTATAACAATGCAGTACCACCCTAGAGAAAATCATGATAATTAAAAAATGAATGAGACTTAAAGCACTTACTTTTGACATCATTAACTTCTTTAATCTTGTTCCAAGTGTCTTCAATGCCTTTTTCTCCTTTATGCACATATGTAACAATGCCTACAGGTAGCCCCTGACTCCTGAGCGCAGTTGCTAACTCGTTGGCTGTGTACATCCAAATATCCTCACAGGACGCAATGATTCCAACATGAGCCCAGTTAAAATATTTCATTACTGTAAACAAAACGTGGGTTGGAGAGGGCAGAGTCCTTGCAAATGCAGGGTGGTGGATGGTGGAATCCAGCTTATAATTGTTGCACATCCATGAGAAGATAGCTTTATTCCAGTTTTCCCCTAAATGTGTAGCCACCTCACAGAAGCCAGGGTTCAGAGGGCCTATGAAAGCTGAGGAAAGCTTTCCAAAGTCAATGAATCTAACCAGAGCTCTTGGTGCCTCACATTCTTCTTGCAAGATCACATAATCCAGCCTGTGGCCAAGATCTAGTGAAGGATCTTGGCTTATTCGTCCCACAGCTAACCTGGCAGCCACATGGGGAAAGGCTTTGGAAAAGAAGGGGTCACAGTTCCAGGGTCCAAGCAGTCCAATTTTAAAGACAGAACAATGTGCTGGAGAGAAAAGTAGGATTATTCCAAACAGCGGCCACCAGAGAGCCCAGAAAAATGTCTTGAATGAATTTCCAGTGTTGAGGTGATGCAAGCTAATGTGCCTCGACAGCACCCAGAAGAAGCTGTTAGGGCACCGTAGGAGAAACGACATTGTATTACAGGTGGGTAGATCTGCACCAAGTTCTTGAGGAAGCCAGGCAGTGCATTACCAGTGGCTGGAAGGAAAGCAGATTACTTTCGCCTTTTAGCGTACGTATTTGTTCACTGCGCTTAGATACATCTGAGTCAGCACAAATTGCACAACCATTCTCAAGGTGCAAGTCTGTGAGAAGCCAAAACCATGCACAGACACGTGGACATGCACATGTATTTTAATATGCTTTGCAATATATTCTTACACCAGGCAGTGAAGAATGAGTCTGCTTTGTTTGCAGCAGTAAGCACAACTTGCAGATACACTGTGGGTTTGGTTCTTAAGAAAGATAATTTCAAAATCACACAAACACCCATAGAAGAAAAGAAAAAAGTGAAACACATTAAGCCATCAACTTTTGCCAAAAATCCACAGTGAGTTTTGAATATTAATTAGAGCCCATATGAAGACAAATATACACACACACACACACACAGACCCTTATGTTCATATACTTAGGGATACTTATGTACATGCATTTGATTTTAAAACTTCCTGAAAAAATTTTTCAAGAACAACTCATAGCAGAGACTCTTAAACCTGGCAAAATGAAAGGTGGATAAACAGGTAACCAGAAAATGAGGGAAAAGTAGGATTATTATTTGAATTTGGATAAAGAACTGCTATATAACTATCAGTTTAAAAACTTTGTGTATGCTCTTGGCTTAAAATACTCTTGGTTGAATATGAGGAGCCATAGAGGGATTTTTTGGAATAGCCATCTAACCCTTCACAGCCAGGCACAGAAATAGCAAAGCCACAACAGGCTCCCCAACTCTCTGCAGTGTCACCCCATGGCTTAAAAAACTTTGCTGATTCCAGCAAGTTTGTGCTCTAAGAATAGCAGGCCCCTTACATCAGCTTACCTGTTCAGTACTGGAAAAGTACTTGTATCTTGGATCCTCAGCCACTGAGACATGCAACACAGAGCACTGCAATGCAGTGTGTGCTGTAAATGCACTCACAGGTCCTCTCGCCTGATGGAGGGAGACCTCCAGAAGGAGCCACCCACTAGCAGAGCAGTTTCTCAGCAGTGGCTGTCCTTGGATGTGGGTACCATCACAAGGATAGATGATACACAATCAGCTTCCCCTGCTTTGATGCCCACTTCCGTCAACTTCTTGTGTGCATGGGCCATTCCAGCTGGGTGGGTGCTCTGGGACCCTCTGTGCCTTGTCAAAAGCTTCCTAGGTCACTTTTGGTGAGGGCCATCCTCCTCCTGAGGGCTTCAGAACTTGGGGCATAACATCCCAACACCTTAGTGCCTTGATGAAGATCTTGCAAAGGTCCAAGGCTGCCTCACACTGAACTGTCTCAGTGCAGAGATGTACTCCTATCTAACTCACTAACGGTAGGGATAGCATCTTAAAGCTCTGCCTTCGGATTAGTGGGATTTAGCTCCTGGGATCTGCCCCTGCAGAACAGCTCCTTAAGTCTCTGCAGCTCAGGAGAGATGGCTCCTCTTCTGCCTTATAATCAGCTGAGATAAGAGCTATTTTAGGTTTGGGGTAAGTAAAATATTTGATTTTTGGCTTTACCATTCTGCTGATGTGTTATGTTCTCCTTTTTCCTGTTTTTTCCTTTGTACCCATCATGACACACACTTGCATCAAAGCCTTCTTGGGTGTTGGACTAGGTGACCTTTAAAGGTTTCTTCCAATACAAACTAATCTATGATTCTAAGATTCTTGGTTATTTCTCTGGGTTCTCTAGATACCTCCCTAGAGCTGAGCCCTCCAATGAACCACTCCCAGACACCCTGGAAATAAATCTGTCATCCTGCAAAGACCTCAGATGTCTCCATGCCTGTCCTAGCTAGGAAGCCCCTTGCAATAATTTAGCTGAGGTCAGAGGACCAGCGCTTGTGGTCTAGAGGGAATAATTTGTGATTTAACCTTCTAGCAGTATTAACTTCAAGTATATCATATAAATTATACACGTCATTGGTGTGTGTGTTCAAGAGCAGTTCTTTGTAACTAATGATTGAGGGAAGCCCCAAAGACTTCAGCTCTCTCCATTAATTTCATCGGTTTCCTCTCATTCACTCATTTCCTTGCACAGGCCCAGATCCAGGAAGGTTCCTGGACATGTGCTTCATTGAGGACTGTTACAGCTCAAGATAGTCATCAGGGACTATCATATAGCTTCCTCTTTGGAAAGTGCCTAAAACACACTCTAATATCAAGTCTAAACTCAGAACACTGCTTTGTATGCTACTAGTTCATTATGGTTTGTCACCAGGTTTTACTCAAAAAATTAAATAAAGATTTTTCAATTAGGAGTCTTCTTTTTTATTATTTGAACCTGAAAGTTTGATTTATCCATATACAGATATACCTATATCTCTATCCATATATCATATGCTCACTGCTATCTCATTTCTTTCAGTATAAACACTGGGCCTGCACAGTTTAATTCCACTTCAGATCAGCAGTCTCAAAGTCTCCTGGAGTAGCTGCAAAACTCCAGTGACTCACTTCTAGGGCATCTTAAAACCTAATTTGTTGAAAAATATGTGGTCAGGCATACAGCAATGGAAGATAAAGAAATTGGTGGTCTATTCATTAGTGTAATTACTCTACCCTTAACAATTCATACATTTCCGTAACCAAGTGGGTGGAAAACTTTATCAGTCTCCCTTTTCTTCTGCTTCTTGTTTGCCAGTGAATGAAAAGACCCTCCTGCCATCAAGTAATAACTGTGGCAGTAATAATAATCCTCCGTCCTCCATAGGAAAAGCTGGTTATCCCAAATGGCTCTGCCACATCTCTCCTTTGCTCAGGGTATCCAGGACAGGGGATACTCCACTCCTCCTTCTGCAAAGCAAGTCCTGGCAGTCCTCTCAAGTCCTGGCACTGCCTGATTGGTTGTCTAATAAAAAAGCAAGGTAAATCAAGCAGCTGAGACAAAAAAAACCCCCTAAAGTTGTTTAGGTTATCCATCTGGCTGAAATTAACACTGAAGTTTAAAACCTTGCCTATATGTCCAAAACCTTCCTTTTTTTCCCCACATCTACAGCTCATCATTATTGCAACAACCACACAACAGAGGAAAGATTTCTTTGCAATACTGCATTACTTGCATACCAACAGATTAATTCCCAGCACTCTTCATACTCACTGAAGTGAATACCATAATATTTCCCAAGAGACAGTTAAGCCACAGCTGTATCTCTTTGCTTTTAATTTTTAGAGCAGGAGAGGGTGCTCTAATCTCTCCGTCTGACCTCCCACATCAGCCTCCCAGCCAAGCAACCTCCCAGGAGCTGCTGCTCCTCTAAGCTCTCTCAGCATCCTGGAAATAAAATATGTTTTGTAATGAATTATACCAGAGGGTACCACTGAATAAAGCTGATTTCTCTGGAAAAGCTCTGCTGTCAGCAGAGAGAGACAGGGAAAAGGCTTGACTCCTGTTCTGCTCTCCCTGCAGAAAAGTCTTGTATCTCCATTGATTATAGAAAAAATTGAGAGAGAACAGCATGGCAATGCTCACATTAGCCTTTCTGCACATCCTCCAAGCCTTAATTAAAAGCTCCAGTCTTGGAAGATCTACCAGGTTCTTTTGTCTATTATTCCAACTGTTAATTATCCTCAACATTAAAAATACCCACTTAGCATTTAGTGTGTCTGGCTTCAGCTTCCCGCAACTGGTTCTCACTCTGCCTTTGCCTTAGAAACAAAAACCAGGAAGTACAAAAAATATCACCTCCCTGTAGACTATTTGCACACCACAATTAGCTCACATCCTAGTCATACTCTGAACAAAATAAATAAACAGCTCGTTAAGACTTTTACCATAGAGGATGCTTTCAGCATTCCATCCTTGCAATGCTCTTTCAACATTCATTTTTAATTTTCTTTCTTTTTGCTAAATTAAAAGCAGTATCCATTAGTAAGCCTCACTCCTTAATGGTGAATATAGGAATGATGACATCTTTTATCACCTATTTGATTTTTCTCCACTTTAATTCTATAGCTTGGATGAACACTGCAGAAACACAGTTTTTAAGCCCTTCTCTGCTCTCCTTAATGCAAACATCTGCTTTGAAAGTGTGGTATGATTTCTTTGTTCTTAGATTTTACAAACCCATATGGTTTAGTGGACGATTCTAAAATATTTCCATTTAATGGGAGATCCAGACCAATTTGCAAGTTATATAAATAATTATTTTTCTATTTCTTCAAGGTAATGTGATAGAGGTTTTGAACAGCACTGGGAAAAAAAAATCACATCCCAGAGGCTCTACTACAAAACACTACCAAAGAAGGGTCCTCATCTACTATTTTATGTCAAAATAGCAATTAATCTTCTTTTAAATTTTATTATGATGTAGACACAATCACTATGTAACACTAATTTTCTCTTTCAATATCAACTTTCAGCAGGATGTCAACTTGTAGGTATCTAGGAAGACAGCATCACCACTTGAGTTTACATGCCAGACCTATGACTCGATCACAAAAATTATGTTAATTCAGACTGACAAGATTTATCATCACTCCAGCCTCACTACCTGGCATTAGTCAACCTTTATCCTTTCATTTTTCAGAAGTTCCTCTCCATTTTGTCCTTTCCATGACTTTGATTTGTTTGATGTCAACCCAAGCTGACCTCACCTTCTTGACCCTGCAGCACAGGAAGGATTTGATATCCCATGGTTTTGGTGGTACTGGGATTTTTAGGAAGGAGTGTTCTGCTGTGCCCTATTGTCCTGTTTTCAAGTTACAGTCAAGCACTTGGAACATCTTTTTCTCCAGATTATCCGGTTTGCTTCAGAGCGGCAACAGGTCATCCCTGAGGAGTCCTGTAGAGTCACGTTCCAGTGGGTCCATTTCTTTCCCAAAATGGCTAGATTTATTTGATTTTCTTGGAAACTGATGTCTTAGCCTGTGAGATCTGAAGTCTCTAGCACTGGCATTAGTGGAACATATGATGTTGCAGGTAGTTGGGATAGTCAA